TGTGTGGTATGGCCAGTACACGACTGTCTCCTTCGTTCGGTTATCCGTGGCACTATCCACTCGCCATAGTGTGGCAGCTAAAATCCACGTCTACACTATCGAGCGTGTATGAACTGTGATTACTTTTTAAATTGCTGATTAGCTATTGGCCATTTCCCTCTCTGACTGAAGGCAGTCGACCAATCGCGACAGACTGTCATCGGTCCAATCAGCGCAGATTAGCTTCGCGCTAAGGAGGGGTTTGGGAACAAATGAATCACTGGACGATTCATACAGGAGTCGCTGGGATAATTAGGTAAAAATAAATGCAGATTATAAGACCATGAAAGTGTTTTTTGACCTTGCATGCATATTAGACTGTTGTTGGAGACCCTTACAACCAGGATATGACCCTATTTCATGTATAATATGGGCTCTTTAATATGTTTATCTTGTCTAAAGTGAAGTTTCATAAACTAATTTCGAGAGGAGCACGTGATATGATTGTGCACCGCTGGCCACTCATCCGTAATCAGTAATAATCCAATCAGAGTGATCCTAGCTTAACATAAATGGATCACTTTCTCCTTATTGCACTATCTTCGTTTTGGAGGAATCCCCCCTTCCACCCCATCTCCTCCTTTTTCTCCCCTTTCTAAAGGGGGAGCGATCGAGACCTACCTGATCTCGGATCTCCTGATATGCTTCTAGACCGGGTGGGAGCCCTGGGCTCAAATATCTCCGAGCTCAGGGTTCTCTCCTGGGACAGCATGCCAAACCTGCTATAAATGCCAAGCATATCTAAGTGGGAACTCTTGAAATGCTTCTTGGGTTTAAGAATAGTCAGATATTTGGACTAGAAGACAAAAGCTTTAAGTAAGATAAGCATTTTTGCAGTGCACAGTTCAGAATATATGTGGAGTCATGACCAAATTCAATCATAATAAAGTGAAAGTTTATTATTTGCATGTGTTTTAAGGACTGTGGACATTTTAGGAGAGTTTAAAGCACTCAGGCACAATAAATTAAAACATTTGTATATTTAATAAAGATTAATTTCATTTAATAATTCATAGAATTAAGACTTTTGATGGTCATTTTACATGTGATTGTTGAATTTCAGTACCTGAATACTGTTAGACCCTTCAGAAAACCATAAAGCACTGTTAATTTTATTTGTATGCTTGCTCTATTGACTACACTCTACCTGACAGAAGTCTTGTTGTGGATCCCAGTTGTAAGATCAACAAATAATAACTGGACTTCTAGTTGATGATGTGTAAAAGTGTCAGAAGGTGGATTTCTCTGCTGAATCATCTGTTGATCTGCATCCCAATCATCACCAATACTGCAGAAGACCTACTGGAACCAGCATAGAGCCAAGATTCTCACAGAAATCAGTCAAGTTTGGTGAAGAAAACATCATGGTTTGGGGTTCATTCAGTATGGGGGCGTGCGAGAGATCTGCAGAGTGGATCATCAACATCAACAGCCTGAGGTATCAAGACATCTGTGCTGCCCATTACATTACAAACCACAGGAGAGGGACAATTCTCCAGCAGGATAGCGCTCCTCCTCATACTTCAGCCTCCACATCAAAGCTCCTGAAAGCAAAGAAGGTCAAGCTGCTCCAGGATTGGCCAGCCCAGTCACCAGACATGAACATTATTGAGCATGTCTGGGGTAAGATGAAGGAGGAGGCGTTGAAGATGAACACAAAGACTCTTGATGAACTCTGTGAGTCCTGCTGAAGGCTTTCTTCTTCATTCCAGATGACTTTATTAATCAGTGATTTGAGTCATGTCAGAGATGTATGGATGCAGTCCTCCAAGCTCATGATGGAGTCAGACACAATATTCATTCTGTCTCCACTGCAGCAGGACTTTATATTCTATACTGGACATTATTTCTGTTCAGTGATGAGACTTTAGTCTAAGCAGAGTCAGACATCAGTGTCCTAATGAAATCATTAATAATCAAGACATGATCAGATTTTATTGTGCTCAAATAAGCAAAATCTAGAGGCCTTTACCTTTCATATGAGCCACTTCTGACACCAAATGATCAACTAGAAGTCAACTTATTATTTGCTGTTGTTAAAACTTGGATAGGCGACAAGACTTTTGTTTTTGGTCCACAACAAAATCATCTTAATCAATGTAAAATCATATATATTTTTCTGAATAGAGCTATTATTTGAGTCATTCAACTCGACATTCAACAGTTTAACAAAGTGACTTTTATTGAAATTTTACTAGTTTGAAATAATATAATGTATAAGAAATAATAATATCTTGAGAAATATGTCTGTAAAATAGCAGTAAATGTGCTGCAGTTTATTCCAAGGTGTGTGTAGCCTAATATACAACACCAACCCAGACAGTATAGCACTGCAGACTATTACAGATGTTCACAAAAGTCACTTTTCCAAACTTTTCAAGATTAAAAGTTGTTGGAAGAAAGATCAAGGTCTCATAATGCAATCCATAAAATAAATCACAAAATGCGGAAAACTGCGAATGTAGGGATCTTTTCACAGTGTATAATCACCCGTATGCATGACAGATTTATTGCATGTGAAGCAGTAATGCTAAAGTGTTGTTTGGGTCAGAATGATGTGATGATCAGCAGATATGTGTGTGTGTTTATTCACACGACACACACTGCAGTTTCACAGCTACTGGACGCATTGATTTGTAATTACGCTAAAGGTTTGAGACGAGGTGTGAAGATGAATTAAATCATTTTCCATTACAGCTTTTATTCCCATCACACAGCACAAACCAGAGCTGTGAGATAAACAGTGCAGTGTGTAATGTGGAAAAAATGTCATTAAATTGAGTAATCTGTTTTCCTTGCTTGCGATGTCACTTTAGGTAAGTGAAAATGTTGTGTTTGATGTGAAATGATGAGTGAAAAGCTTAGATAACCGGTTTCGAAGCAAAGATGCTTAAATTTTCTGTTATGCCCTTCCTATACACTCCCCGGCCACTTCATTAGGTACACCTAACTAGTACTGGGTTGGACACTCTTTTGCCTACAGATCTGCCTTAATCCTTCATGGCAGATTCAACAAGATACTGGAAATATTCCTCAGAGATTTTGCTCAATATTGACATGATAGCATCACACAGTTGCTGCAGATTTGTCAGCTACGAGTCTCCCATTACCCTTTATCCCAAAGGTGCTCAATTGGATTGAGCTCTGGGGACTGTGGAGGCCATTTGAGTACAGTGAACTCATTGTCTTACTTAAAGAAACCAGTCTGAGATGATTGAGCTTGACATGACATGGTGTGTTATCCTGCTGGAAGTAGCCATCAGAAGATGGAGACACTGTGCTCATAAAGAGATGGACATGGTCAGCAGCAATACTCAGGTAGGCTGTGGCGTTGACACGATGCTCAGTTGGTACTAATGAGCCCAAAGTGTGTCAAGAAAATCTCCCCCACACCATTACACCACCACCAGCCTGAACCGTTGCAGGATGGATCCATGCTTTCATGTTTTTGATGCCGAATTCTGACCCGAGCATCCAAATGTGTGAGCAGAAATGGAGACTCATCAGAGCAGGCAACGTTTCTCCAATCTTCTATTGTCCAGTTTTGGTGAGTCTGTGTGAATTGTAGCCTCAGTTTCCTGTTCTTAGCTGACAGGAGCGGCACCCGGTGTGGTCTTCTGCTGCTGTAGCCCATCCGCCTCAAGGTTGGACGTGTTGTGTGTTCAGAGATGCTCTTCTGCAGAGATCGGTTGTAACGAGTGCTTATTTGAGTTACTGTTGCCTTTCTATCAGCTGGAACCAGTCTGGCCATTCTCCTCTGACCTCCGGCATCAACAAGGCATTTGCGCCCACAGAACTGCCACTCACTGGATATTTCCTCTTGTTCAGGCCATTCTCTGTAAACCCTAGAGATGGTTGTGCGTGAAAATCCCAGTAGATCAGCAGTTTCTGAAATACTCAGAGCAGCCCGTCTGCCACCAACAACCATGCCAAGTTCAAAGTCACTTAAATCCCCTTTCTTCCCCATTCTGATGCTCAGTTTGAACAGCAGCAGATCGTCTTGATCATGTCTACATGCCTAAATGCATTGAGTTGCTGCCATCAGATTGGCTGATTAGAAATGTGCGTTAACGAGCAGTTGGACAGGTGTACCTAATAAAGTGGCCGGTGAGTGTATTTTTTTTTAGGGCAACAGTATCTCCAGCTGTTAAGTACCATCAACATCAAAAGCTGCTGGTCAGCCCAGGATTCAGCAAACAAATCTCTTATTAACCAGCATCCTAGCCTGCTACAGACCTGAACAGTGCAGTGGCCTATTTTAAATCCAAAGAAAAGAAAGATATCCAGAGATGCCTTTTCAAGTTGTAAAGAAATCTGTTTTGAAACTAATGAAGTCAGTGATGTACTTTAAATATCTCGCCTGGCATGTTTACTGTTTCCAAATGTTTTTTAAAATGAAATAAAAGTGTTCAATGGGGGAAAACATTGTTGTTTTTAACATTTAACAGAACATATGTTGGAAAAGTAATCACAATACCGTGAAACTACCGTGGTATTTTTATCAAAGGTTATCACACCGTCAGAAAATTATATGCAACATTGCAGTTTTGTGCATAAATCTAATGTGATCAGATTGTTGTCCGCAGTTTTTAGTAACCATTATCTATTCTTTTTCTCTACAGCTGTGAGATTGCTGATGGATGATGGACATCAATAAACACATTTCAGAGACTGATAATCCTCCATAGACTCGCTGATGATCTTGATTTCCGATGGCCGAGCTCAGCAGTGCTGGTTCGTCGTTGGACTGCATCACCGATGTAAATTATTTCATGTTTTATATGTTTTTCTGTCAGAAATGCGACCGACCACTGGACTTTTGACTGAGTATTTCTGATCTGTACAGAGTGTCTTTAAATAGATGATGTGAGTACTAATAAAATCCATTATGGATTGCATTTTTCATCAAGAATTGAGTCTCTTTCCTACTGTTTACATATAAAACAGTACATGAAACCATATTGAATACTGTAATTTATTAAGAAATTAAAGACATATATGAATATAGCATGTGGAAATAACTTCTTAATCTCATATGCTGTATAAAAGTGAAATATGTACATTCAGTTCCAGCAACTTTCTCAGTATTTATAGTAAATAATTGTACATTAAAGATTATGGTAACACTTTAGTTTAAGAAACAATTCACACTATTAACCACTGGCTTTTATTATTAAGATATTAACAGTTTAGTAGTAATTATGATCGTATCATTCCTAGTCCTACATAACAGCTAAACTAGCACTTTAATAACTATTAAAAAGCATCTTCCTTATTTATCTAAAAGGCATAGTTAATGGTTCATTAGTAATGTGGATTGTATATTTAAATATTGTGTCCAAAAAACTATTTTACAGGTAATTAAATGCTGAAATGCAAACAAATAAAGCGGTTGCAAGGGTCAAAGCAGCACTTAATTTTCAATCATGCTGAAACATATCACATAACATGCATGTTCACTGGTATTTAGTCACATTTCCGAGCCAAATCCTCCACATCTCTCGTCTGGCTGCTAAGAGTCTGAGAAATGCTTGATGTGTGAACTGCATCTGAAGTAGCTTCTGCTTTCTGGAGTTCTTGACTTCTGTTATTTTTGTTGAAGCGTACGAGAGCAGAAACCACTGAGTCACTTTTTGGGGCCACGTTTCTCACGGTAGAACCAGAAAATTAGCACACCGGCGATGATTATGTCCATCAGAGTCACACACAGAATCAGAACCTCCATCTGGAGAACACACAAACACAAAACACACCGTCAACAACAACACACACAACAATAGAAAACACCCTCATCAACAACACACAACAATAGAAAATACTGTTATCAACAACACCAACAACAATAAACACTCCGTCAACAACACACACAACAATAAACACACCGTCATCAATACACAAAACAATAGAAAACACCCTCAACAACAGCACACACAACAATAGAAAATACTGTCATCAACAACACACACAACAATAGAAAACACACCGTCAACAACAACACACACAACAATAGAAAACACACCGTCAACAACAACACACACAACAATAGAAAACACACCGTTAACACACACACAACAATAGAAAACACACCGTCAACAACACCGACAACAATAAACACACCGTCAACAACGCACACAACAATAGAAAAGTGTCAGCACCAACACAGACATCAATGGACAACACCATCATCAACAACACAAACAACAATAGAAAACACCATCATCAACAACACAAACAACAATAGAAAACACCGTCAACAACAACACAAACAACAATAGAAAATACTGTCATCAACAACACACAACGATAAAAACACACCATCAACAACACACACAGCAATAGAAAACACACTGTTATCAACAACACACACAATGATAGAAAACATCGTCAACAACAACACAAACAAGAATAGAAAATACTGTCATCAATAAGACACAACGATAAAAACACACCGTCATCAACAACAGACACAACAATAGAAAACACCGTCAACAACAACACACACAACAATGGAGAACACCGTCATCAACAACAGACACAACAATAGAAAACACACCATCAACAACACCCACAGCAATAAACACACCGTCAACAACACACAAAATAGAAAACAGTGTCAGCACCAACACAGACAACAATGGAAAATACTGTCATTACCAACACACACAACAATAGAAAACACCCTCAACAACAACACACACAACAATAGAAAACACCCTCAACAACAACACACACAACAATAGAGAACACCCTCAACAACAACACACACAACAATAGAAAACACCCTCAACAACAACACACACAACAATAGAGAACACCCTCAACAACAACACACACAACAATAGAAAACACCCTCAACAACAACACACACAACAACAGAAAACACACTGTTATCAACAACACACACAACAATAGAAAACATTGTCAACAACAACACACACAACAACAGAAAACACACTGTTATCAACAACACACACAACAATAGAAAACACCTTCATCAACAACACAGACAACAATAGAAAACACACTGTCATCAACAACACCCACAACAATAGAAAACACTGTCAACAACAACACACACAACAATAGAAAACACTGTCATCAACAACATAGACAACAATGGACAACACTGTCATCAACAGCAGACACAACAACAGAAAACACACCAACAACACCCACAACAATAAACACACCAACAACACCCACAACAATAAACACAACGTCAACAAAACACACAACAACAGAAAACACACCAACAACACCCACAACAATAAACACACCATCATCAACAACACCCACAACAATAGAAACACACCGTCAACAACACACACAACAATGGACAACACCTTCATCAACAACACACACAACAATAAACACACCGTCAACAACACACACAACAATGGACAACACCTTCATCAACAACACCCACAACAATAAACACACCATCATCAACAACACCCACAACAATAAACACACCATCATCAACAACACCCACAACAATAAACACACCATCATCAACAACACCCACAACAATAGAAACACAGCGTCAACAACACACACAACAATGGACAACACCTTCATCAACAACACACACAACAGTAGAAAACACCGTCAACAACACACACAACAGTAGAAAACACCGTCATCAACACAATTCAAAGCACGAGTAAACATGATGCACAAATGTTCATGATTATCTATTCATTTTACCTTCTGCTGGATTTGATTTCCTCCTGGTTGAAGATCAACTATCAGAAGAATTGCACCGATCGCAGAAACACACAGACATAGGATGTTTGCAATGAAGCAGGTCTGGGGAAAAAATGAAGAATATTTTTCTGGATGCTGTATATTTATAGGAAATACACATGTGTAAATGCAGACACTGACGTGCAGAAGCTCTGGGTGTTTGTACAGAAGATTTGACAGGATTCCAGCCACCACAAACTAGAAGACAAAGAGGAACTGCGTCATACTATGATCAACATTTTCTCCAGGATTTAGTTAATATGAGTATAATATAGCAATAATATACTATAATATACAGTTGTAGTCAGAATTATAACACCCCTGATTACCCCCCCCCCTCCATTTGTGTTTAATGGAGAGCAAATTTTTGTCTAAACATATAAAGTTGATAGCAGAAGTTTACATACACTCTAAAAAAGCAACATAACCATTTTTTTTAAATGTCTGATGGTAAATCACTAAACATTCACTATTTTAGGTCTGTTAGGATTACCTAAATGATTTACAAATCATTCCCACAAATTTTCTATAGGATTGAGATCAGGGCTTTGTGATGGCCACTCCAAAACATTCCCTCTGTTGTCTTTAAAGCACAATTGAACTAATTTGGCAGTATGCTTAGGGTCATGGTCTGCTTGGAAGAGCCATTTGTGGCCAAGTTGTAATGTCCTGGCTGATGTGTTGAGATGTTGCTTCAGTATTTCTCCATAATGTTCTTTCTTCATGATGCCATCTATGCTGTGAAGTGGACCAGTCCCTCCTGCAGCAAAACAGCCCCACAACATGATGCTGCCGCCCCCATACTTCACAGTTGGGATGGTGTTCTAGGCCTATAAGCTTTCCCCTTTGTCCTCCAAATGTAACACTGCTCATTATGGCCAAACAGTTCAATCTTAGCTCCATCAGAGCACAGGGCATGCTATTAAGCATAACAGAAACACATTTAATAATCCTGACTTACCTAAAAGAGAAAAGTTTAGTCACATTAACATCTGCATTTTTATTAATGGTTATGTGCCTTTTTATACAGTGTATGTACACTTCTGCTTTCCACCGTATAATAGTTTTAATAACTCATCTCTAATAACTGATTTATTTTCTCTTTGGCATGATGACAGCACATATTATTAGACTAGATGTTCTTCAAGACACTTCTATACAGCTTAAAGTGACATTTAAAGGCTTAACTAGGGTAATTAGGGTAAAGTTAGGGTAATTAGGCAAGTTATTGTATAACAGTGGTTTGTTCTGTAGACAATCCAAAACTTATATTGCTTAAGGGGGCTAATAATATTGAGCTTAAAATGGTTTTAAAACAATTAAAAACTGCTTTTATTCTAGCTGAAATAAAGACTTTCTCCAGACAAACAAATATTATAGGAAATACTGTGAAAAATGTCTGAATCTGTTCAACATCATTTTGGAAATATTAGATATAGAATAATAATAACTTTGACTACTGTATATTATGAATAATGCATGTAGGGCATGTCAGTAATAAAACAGCAGAGGAAGATGAAGCTCACCATTACTCCAGTGACGATGGGAATTCTGAATAAAGTCAGTAAATTGAACCCGATGTCCCATGAAGCTGCAAACACGACTCCGATTCCCAAACTCAGAATCCCACTGGACGCCTGAATGGCCTGCAGGAAGACCACACAACACTTACTGTGTGCTGTTTATTATTCCATTCTTTTGTTTTCCTTCAGCTTAGTCCCTTATTTATCAGGGGTCGCCACAGGGGAATGAACCGCCAACTTATTTAGCATATGTTTTTCACAGCAAATGCCCCTCCAGCTGCAACCCATCTCTGGGAAACACCCATACACACACACACACACACACACACACAAACACACACTCATACACTACGACCAATTTAGTTTATCAATTCCCCTACAGTGCATGTGTTTGGACTGTAAAGGAAATTGGAGCACCCAGAGGAAACCCACACCAACACAAGAAGAACATGCAAACTCCACACAGAAACACCAACTGACCCAGCTGGGACTTGAACCAGCGACCTTCTTGCAGTGAAGCCACAGTGCTAACCACTGAGCCACCATGGCGCCCAATTACAGTAAATTAAAGTTTTTAATTATTTGTTCCAAAAAAATGTTTGCAATACCATAGCAACCATCTAGATCACCCTAGCAACTACAGAATTATTTCATATTGTGGCTGGCCATGTTCATCTCTTTATGAGCACAGTGTCTCCATCTTCTGATGGCTACTTCCAGCAGGATAACACACCATGTCATAAAGCTCAATCATCTCAGACTGGTTTCTTGAACATGACGATGAGTTCACTGTACTCAAATGGCCTCCACAGTCACCAGAGCTCAATCCAATAGAGCAGCTTTGGGATGTGGTGGAACGGGAGATTGGCATCATGGATGTGCAGCCGACAAATCTGCAGCAACTGTGTGATGCTATCATGACAATATGGAGCAAAATCTCTGAGGAATATTTCCAGTAGCTTGTTAGTGCCATGAAGGTTTAAGGTAGTTCTGAAGGCAAAAGTGGTCCAACCCAGTACTAGTAAGGTGTACCTAATAAAGTGGCCGATATATATATATATATATATATATATATATATATATATATATATAGTATATAGTCAGTATTATGTTTTCCATGTCTAGTCTTCCATGTGCTTTTGTTGTCATGTGATTTCTTTGTTCTGTTTTCCCGCCGTTTGTCAGTGTTTATTAGTTTCACCTGTGTCTCACCCCTGCTTGTAATCAGTTTAATCATGTCTTGTCTATTTATACCCCTAAGGTTGGCTAGTTTGTTGTGTTGTATTGTAGTGTCAACATCCTTGTCCTTCCTGAGTGACTATGTTCCTGTTTTTAGAAGTATTTTTTAAAAAAAATAAGTGGTTTTTTATGATGATATTTCCTGTGAACTGTGCATTTGTGGCGAGTGCATCTGTGACATGTGCATGCAGACACAGACAGTGCTCAGAATAACTGAGTTCATCCTATTTGGAAAATATGTTTCTCCGTTTCTCAGGGAATATAGACCATATTTTTGGTCTATTTAAGCAAAACAGATTTATTAAAGAGATCTATTTATTAAAATATTTTAGTCACCAAACTATTCAGAAATTGAAAGATGATACGTTTTAAATTCAAGCTAAATATAAAATAATTAAATACAACCTACATTTATTCATTTTCTTGTCGGCTTAGTCCCTTTACTAATCCGGGGTCGCCACAGCGGAATGATCCGCCAACTTATCCAGCTAGTTTTTACGCAGCGGATGCCCTTCCAGCTGCAACCCATCTCTGGGAAACATCCACACACACACTCATACACTATGGAGAATTTAGCCTACCCAATTCACCTGTACTGCATGTCTTTGGTCTGTGGGGGAACCCATAGCACCCGGAGGAAACCTACATGAAGGCAGGGAGAACATGCAAACTCCACACAGAAATGCCAACTGAGCCGAGGCTCAAACCAGCAACCTTTTTGCTGTGAGGCGACAGCACTACCTACTGCGCCACTGCTTCGCCCTAAATACAACCTACAATTTCAACTAAATAATTTTTTCATTTGTATGTAATATTTTTCGATAACATATAATTTTCTACAAGCTATTTGATAGATGGGCTCCAGATTTGGCTTCAGTACTGACTAATCTAACGTACTGTATATGCACAGATATAATACTGTAGAGCTTCCCATTAAAAATATGAATTTAGAAGAGATATGTGAGGGGTGTACTTATATATGCTGAGCGCTGCATATGTGCATGCATGCACACACGCATATATAGATGCATGCATAAACTTAAAATAAAAGAATACAGAAAATGTTGCCAATATTTCCTATTCAACACATTATTTCAAACTACTAAAATGCCAAAGTTATTTTGTTAAACTGTACACTGGACAAAAAGGATGTCTGCAAAATTGTTGCAAAATTATTTGTGGTAAATTGAAGAAAACAAATTAAATTTAGCAGCATTCAGCGTAATTTGTTTGTTTATATTCCGCTTAAATAAATTGTTTGCAGTCACTTAACTTAAAAAGATTTAGTAAATCCAAGCATTCATCTTTGAATCCTTTTTTTTTTCAGTGTAGAGTTGAATTTTCAAGTCAACAGCTTAAAATAACACCTCATAATTCAATACATAACCCTAAATGAACAGGAGATATCTTAAAGTGGCTCATTTTATATGTTAAAAACATTTAAAGATGCATCTTTTTGGACAAGATTTTAATGAACAGTATTGTGAGCTGCTTTTACATTTGCTGTTATAAGAGTTTTCTTGTACTGATGTAGGTTTTTCTTTGACCACAATATATAAAGGGTGCAATATCAATACATTCTTAATTTACTTAAGGGGTATGTGTACAGTGTAGCCCCATTATTAGTGTATGTGTGTGTGTGCTCACAGCGCAGGTTGCAGGGCCTTTTCTGAGCAGTGTGTTGAGCGCTGGCACTGGAGCAGGCATAACTTCACTGGCACGATAATATTTGATTAGCGGATTTTGATCACCCGCTGTGTCTGAATGCCTCTGAATATCCATCGATATATCTGCACTGGCCATCACCTGAAACACAACACACACACATGCGTATATAAGTAATTAAACTCGCACACAAACTACTTCTAACCTTAAAGTTTGGAAGTGACTTTTCTGAACATGTGTAAGAGTTGCAGTGCTGTAGTGTCTGGGTGGGTGTACAATATTACGCTACAAACACCTTGTAATAAACTGCAGCCCTTTTTTTGTTACACACTTATTTCTCTAGTTATCATTTTTCATGTTATTTCAAACTACTATAATGTCAAAGTCACCGTAGAGTTCATCAAAAGTGGACAAAGCAGAGATCAACATCCCATAATGAAATTCACAACAGCAAAATAAACCAGTAACACTTGTTGTGAATCACAAAATACTCAAACTGTTTATTCACGCACTCGTGAGAAATTAAGCTCGCACACAAACAAAAGTCAAGGCACTGAAGATCAGCCTGCATTTTGACATTTTAAGACCAAAAGATTCTGAAAATCGGCTTTGTTTTTTTTTTAATGCGAGATATATTTTATAATACACAGATTTAAATATGTATTCAATTTAATTCCAGTTAATTTGTAAAGCACTTTTCACAATAATTATTATTTCTAATCAGCTTTACAAAAGACGCACAGATTACAATCAAAATCTGAAAAGTTAAAGTTATTAGTTACCAAAGCTGTATTAGTTAGTTACTAATAGCTTGAATTAACTATTAACCAATCACTAACTAATATATATGTATATATGTATGTATGTATGTGTGTATGTACAGTTGAAGTCAGAATTATTAGCCCCCCTGACTTATTAGCGCCCCTGTTTATTTTTTTTCCCCAATTTCTGTTTAATGTAGGGAAGATTGTTTCAGCACACTTCTAAGCATAATAGTTTTAGAAACTCATTTCTAATAACTGATTTATTTCATCTTTGTCATGATGACAGTAAATAATATTAGACTAGATATTCTTCAAGACACTTCTATACAGCTTAAAGTGACATTTAAAGGCTTAACTAGGTTAATTAAGTTAACTTGGCAGGTTCGGGTAATTAGGCAAGTTATTGTATAACGATGGTTTGTTCTGTAGACTAACGAAAACAAAATTTGCTTAAAGGGGCTAATAATTTTGTCCCAAAATTGGTTTTTAAAAAATTAAAAACTGCTTTTACTCTAGCCGAAATAAAACAAATAAGACTTTCTCCAGAAGAAAAAATATTATCAGACATGAAAATTTCCTTGCTCTGTTAAACATAATTGGGGAAATATTAAAAAAAGAAGAAAAAAATCAAAAGGGGGCTAATAATTCTGACTGTATGTATGCAAACATGCATGCCAAAAAAAGTTTTTTTCATGGTCTTTAAAGTGAAATCAACATGAAGGCTAAGAAAAATATTAATTTTCGACTGAAATTTCAGATGGCACTTAGAAGTTTGTGTTTGTGTGTGTGTGTGTATATATAAACTTGGTTAACCTGCAGTTGTATAATTTACAATATAATAATGTATAATAATAAACTTATTGGGTAACACTATAAAACATTAGTTAATGTTCGTTAACGTATTTACTAACATGAACAAACTATTAGTAATACGTTTATTATGGTATTCATTTATCCTCGTCAACTTCAGTTAATGTTATATTAGTTAAATAATGTTAGTTCATGTTAACTCGCAGTGAATTAACTTATTAACGAGCACAATTTTGGACCGAATAAAAATATTGCATTAGTTATGTTGAACTACTGTATAATAATAATGATTCTTGCCAAAATCAAATCTGAAATACAATTTGCCAATATGCATATGCACTAAAAACATCTTTTATTTCAAAACGCAAATATTTTCAGTGCACAGTTTATAAAAGGCGGTGGTTGCATAAATATACGCAAAAAAATGACTTGATTGTTCAAAATACTTATTTAGCCATTTATGGAACCACACATGAAATAATACTTGTAATTTTACATTAATAACAGTACAATAATCTAATACAGTACAATAAATAGTTACAGTAGTTTGCAGTAAATTAAGATGAAAACACAATTTTTAACTTTTGACTTATGTTCAGTCAACTTAAATTTTGTAAAAACTAATAAGTGTACTTAATTCCTTCATGTTGTCCCAAAACAAATCTTTTGTGTGGAAACCAGGATTTACTTATAGTAATATACTTGTATAATAGACTTATTATACCTTATATAGTATGTTTCATAGGAACTTGCAACATGTTCTGTAGTCAATTTACTGTAAAATGCTAGTTTTTGTACTGTATTTATTGTACTGTATTAGGTGACTGCACTGTTAATACTATAAAATTACTAGCAGAATTTCATGTGTGGTTACTTAAATATACACTCAAAAAATGGATTTTGCTGCTTGTTCAATATATATACAGTAAATACTTATTAAAAAATAGAAGAAACGGCATTATTCCTAAAATTGGTGGGGGGCACAACTTAATTTTTGTAAGTTCAATCCAGTTAAATTTGTGAAAACAGTAGGTTAACTTAATTCCTTCATGTTGTCCCAAAACAAATCCTTTTAGTGGAACCCAGGATTTACTTATACTAATATACTTATAAAGTAGACGTACAATACTTTATATAGTAAGTTTCATTTACCACAGGAACTTACAGCATGTTCTATAGTCAATTTACAATAAAATACTACAGTATTTCATGTCTGGTTATATGAATGCAACAATAACTGTACTTGTATACATACTATGTTTCATTTACCGCAGGGATTTACTGCATGTTCTATAGTAAATTCACAGTAAAATACTTTTTATTGTACTATATTTATTGTACTGAGTTAGATTATTGTATTGTTATTACTGTAAAATACTGTAGTATTATTTGATGTTTGGTTATATAAATACAGTTATACTATACAATACTTGTATAATATATATATGTATAATAAATATATGTATTATATGTATAATAAATATATGTATTATATATATATATATATATATATATATATATAAATTGTTTACTATACTATACAGTAAGTTTCATTTACCACAGTAACTTACTACATGTTCTATATTTACTGTAAATTACTACAGTATTATTTTGCGTCTGCTTGTATAAAAAATAATAATTATACTAATATAGTTTATGTACTTATTATACCTTATATAGTAAGTTTCATTTACCACAGTAATTTACAGCATGTTCTGTAGTCAATTTACAGTAAAATACTACATTATTATTTGATGTTTGGTTATTTAAATACAATAATAACTGTACTTGTATACATACTATGCCTTATTTAGTAAGTTTCATTTACCACAGGGATTTACTGCATGTTTTATGGTAAATTGACAGCAAATTACTGTTTATTGTGCTATATTTATTGTGCTGAGTTAGATTATTGTACAGTTATTTAAAATACTTTAGTATTTGATGTTTGGCTGTATAAAAACAATTATACTATACAATACTTGTGTAGTATACATACTTGCAATACCTTAAATAGTAAGTTTCATTTACCACAGTAACTTACAGCATGTTCTATAGTCAATTTACAGTAAAATACTACAGTATTATTTTATGTCTGGTTATATAAATACAACAATAACTGTACTTATTTACAATACCTTGTATATTACGTTTCATTTACTACAGTAACTTACTACATGTTCTATAGTAAATTTACTGTAAAATACTATTTATTGTATTGTACTCTGGATGTATAAATAACATCCAGTTTGCGAAGAGAAGAGTTTTTGAAGCTGATCTGTAAATTAAATCCCCATAATCCAGAATTGGTAATACTGTTAATTTGACCAAATGCTGCTTTGAAGAGTGAGTAAAGGAAGATTTGTTCCTGTAAAGAAAACTAATGCGGGCTTTAACCTTTTTAAGCAGTTCATTTATGGGAGTTTCAAATGCCAGTTTCCCTATTTTTATATAAAGGTATAGATTTTGTGTGCTGGTCTTTTTGTAAAGCACTTTGGTTTACATCTGTTGTTTTTAAATGTGCTCCTATACATAAAGCAAACAAATAACTGTACTAGTGCTGTACATGTACTTACTATAGCGTATATTGTCAGTTTCATTAACCACAGTAATTTACAGCATGTTCTGTAGTCAATTTACTGTAAAATACTACAGTATTATTTCAAGTGTGGTTATATAAATACAATAACTATATTTATATAGTATACTTATTTATTATACCTTATATGTTAAGTTTCATATACAACAGGAATTTATAACATGTTCCATATTGAATCTACTGTAAATACTACAGTATTATTTGATGTCTGGTTATATAAATACAATAATAACCATATGTACATACTTAATAACAATACCTTGTATAGTAAGTTTCATTTACTACAAGGATTTGCAACATGTTCTATAGTCAATTTACTGTAAAATACTACTTGATGTTTGGTTATTTAAATACAATAATAACTACTTGTATACATACTATTCCTTGTATAGTAAGTTTCATTTACCACAGGGATTTACTGCATGTTCTATAGTCAATTTACTGTAAAATACTGTAGTATTATTTCATTTCTGGTTATATAAATAAACATACATGTTTATAAAAGCACAAATAAATGTAAATAATATAAATATTAATAAGCGTCTTACCGATGGAGTTTGTCTTCCGCGTTATAGAGGAGAAATGATGAGTGTGTGTTTGTGTTACTTCAGGTTTTTTTTTTTCTGATACCAAAAAAGCCGCTTTCATGTGGTTGGTCAAAAAAATAGGAACTGTGCAGTGAGAAGTGATGATGTGAGCAGATCACACACACACACACTCACACACTCTTGCTGTCTGAGAGATAATATTCACTCTTCATTCTTCAGCCGGTAAGATTTTATTTACTCTTTTTCACTTTTATATATTGACACACACATAAACACACCGATTCTGAATTATAGATGAAGATCTCAGCGTGTGTGTGTGTGTGTGTGTGTGTGTGTGTTGTGAGCTTCGCCTTTGGCTTCCTGTGAGCGTGTTTTAACTGTGCCATTAACTAAACTGTGGGTGGATCAGGGTCAGTACTTATATTTATATTTTAGTTTAGTTTAATTCAGACTTATTAGCCCCCTTAAAAATTTTGGACCGCTTGTTTTTTTTTGTTTTTTTTTCCCCAATATCTATATAACGGAGAGATTTTTTTTCAGTATATTTCTTAAAATAATAGTTTTAATAACTAATCTCTAATAACTGATTTGTTTTGTCTTTGCCATGTTGACTAAATAATATTAGACTAGACATTCTTCAAGACACTTCTATACAGCTTAAAGTGATATTTAAAGGCTTCACTAGGTTAATTAGGTTAACTAGGCAGGTTAGGGTAATTAGGCAAGTTATTGTGTAGGAGTGGTTTGTTCTGTAGACTGGAAAAAGATCTGGATCTGGAAAGAAATCTAGATCTGGAAAAAAAATAGCTTAAAGGGGCTAATAATATTGTGCCTAAAATGGTGTTTAAAAAAATGTAATCAATTTATTCTAGCTGAAATAAAACAAATAAGAATTTTTCCAGTAGAAAAATATTATCAGACATACTGTGGAAATTTCCTGAATCTGTTCAACATCATTTGGGAAATAATTAAAAAAAGAGGAAAACGGTTTGAAAGGGGCCAATAATTCTGACTTCAACTGTGTATATATATATATATATATATATATATATATATAAGCATTTAGTTTGTTTGTTTGTGATTAGGATTATTGCAAATATATTCCGTGCATACTTCTAACATGACCCATGTTAAAAAAAAGTGCTATAATAATAACAATAGTAATAACAGGTCAGTTTTTTCATGTTCATATATCTTGATTAAAGCGCATTTAGAAAACAATTATAATATCATCGAATTTTACCTGAAATTAATCTCATTAATTATAAAAACAAGCATTAGTGATCTTTTCCCACATGAAAACAAATACTAGAGTCATTTATAGCGGTAACACTTTACAATAAGGTTCATTAGTTAATGCATTTACTAACATGAACTAATCACAAACAACACATGTACAGCATTTATTAATCATAATTGAACATTTACTAATGCATTATTAACATCCACGTCCATGCTTGTTAACATTAGTTAATGCACCGTGAGTTAACATGAAGTAACAATGAACTCCTGTATTTTCATTAACTAACATGAACAAATACTGTAGTAAATGTACTGTTCATTGTTTGTTCCTGTTAGTAAATGCATTAATTAACATTAACTAATAAACCTTATTGTAAAGTGTGACCTTTATAGCAAAACACTGTGGTTAAATTCAAATCCAATTTATTTGTACAGCGCTTTTCACAATGATGATCATTTTCAAAGCAGCTTCACAAACTATGCACATTATTAAATGAACGTTATTATATACATAGATGACTTCATATACAATAAGTGTAAATGTATATGCAATAAGTACAATTTGTGTATTGTTTATTGCTTAAGACTTTATACTGTCCTTAAACATTATTGTTTTAAACCATACTGTAGTTATACTGTATATATTAGAGTATTTACAGCACTTTAATGAATGTTCTAGCATTTACTATTTTGAACTGACAAAATACTGTAGTGCACTTTAGTTTTTACTGCATTAAACTGTATTGTAGTATGGTGTACCCTACAGTTGTAGAAGACAGTACGGGGAGGTTTGTTATTACTATAGTTGACGCATCTAATTAAATTACATTTATTCATTCATTAAATTTCTTTTCGGCTTAGTCCCTTTATTAATCCGGGGTCGTCACAGCGGAATGAACCGCCAACCTATCCAGCATGTTTTTACACAGCCATACACACACACACTAATTCACACTCATACATGACGGACAATTTAGACTCGCAAATTCACCTGTACCTCATGTGTTTGGACTGTGGGGGAAACCAGAGCACCCGGAGGACCCACGAGAACACAGGGAGAACATGCAAACTCCACACAGAAACGCCAACTGACCCAGGCGAGGCTCGAACCAGCAACCATGCTGTGAGGCGACAGCACTACCTACTGCGCCACTGCGTCGCCTAAATTAATTTAATTGTTTACATGCAAACTGATCTGTGATTTTAAGGCTTCCCTGCAAAAATAAATAAACAGATAGATTATTAAATGTTTAATAATTAACTGAGAATTTAGCTAAACTGAAAATGATCCTGCATACTATGTCAAAGCCGCTTCAACGGCAGATATACCTATGGAAAAATAATGTTTTGTGTTAGAGTAAAAATGCAATATGTGTTGTAGTGTTTGAAAACTTGATAGATGATCAAAGTGTGATCTGATGTGATTATCAGATGTGAATATGCAGATCATCTGATATGAATATGTAGAACATCAGATAAATATCCAGGTTATCAGATATGACATGTATATGCCATTGACCTGATGCAAATGTGTAGATCATAAGATATATAAGAATATGCATATTAGCTTATGTGAATATGCAGATCCTGTATATAATATGATGATCTGACATTACTATGTTGATTATCAGATGTGAATATGCAGATTAGGTATGAGTATGCAGATCATTAGCTATGTATATACAGATTATCTGACTTCAATTTCAATTATCTGATGTGAGTATATTGATCATTAGATGCAGATCATCATATATTAATATGCAGGTAACACATTGATATGCAAATTATCTGATGTGAATTTATTGATCATTAGATTCGGATCATCACACATGAATATGCTGATTATATTTAAAAATGGCAATAATCTGATATGAATATATAGATAATCAGATGCTGATTATCATACATGAATATGCAGATTTATATATATGGCAATGATCTAATATGAATATAAAGATCATTAGATGCGGATCATCATACATGAATATGCAAATCAGATATGAATATGCCAATGATCTGATATGAATATTTAGATCATCAGATGTGGATCATCATACACGAATATGCAAATCAGATATGAATATGCCAATGATCTGATATGAATATGTAGATCATCAGATGTGGATCATCATACACGAATATGTATGTAGATCATCAGATGCAGATCATCATATATGAATATGTAAATCAGATATAAAAATGCCAATGATCTGATATGAATATATAAATCATCAGATGTGGATCATCATACATGAATATGCAAATCAGATATGAATATGCTAATAATCTGATACAAATATGTAGATCAGTAGGTGTGAATTATCATACATGAATAAGCAGATTATATATGAATATGCCAATGATCTGATATGAAAATATAGATCATCATATGTGGATTATTATACACGAATATGCAAATCAGATATGAATATGCCAATGATCTGATACCAATTTATAGATCATCAGATGTGGATTATTATACATGAATATGCAGATTATATTTGAATATGCCAATAATCTGACACGAATCTATAGATCTTCAGATGGGTATCATCATGCATGAATATGCAGATTAGATATGAATTTGCCAATGATCTGATATGAATCTATAGATCATCAGATGTTGATTATCATACACAAATATGCAGATTAGATATGAATATGATCATATGCAGATCATTATACATGAATATGCAGATTGGATATGAATATGGCAATGATCTATATAAATCATTAGATGTGGATCATCATACATCATATATGAATATGGAGATCAGATCCGAATATGCTAATGATCTGATATAATTATATAGATCATCAGATGTGAATTATCATACATGAATATGCAGATTAGATATCAATATGCCAATGATCTGATATGAACATGTAGACCTTTAGCTGTGAATATGTAGATCAGATATGAATATGATTTGAATACGCAGAACATCTTATATACATGTGATTAACTAAAATGATTATGCCTGATATGAATATGATTATAGATTATCATGTGTGGTTGTGTGTGAACAGCAGTGTTTCATCGTGGTGTTCAGATGCGCTACACGTTTAAGCCGGATGACTGTATGGTCATCTCCATTCCTCTGGGCAGCATCAGGAACATGAGGGACGGTCAGCTGATGCCAGAGAAGTTCACCTGCGTCTTCAAGGATGCTTACAAAGTCTTTCTGAAAGGAAGACCAAAGGAGCTTGGGGTACGTGACACTGTTTAACAGGCAAAAACACAGCAATGTTGACAAATGCATTATAATAACACAAGTGATGCGAAAGAAATAGTGATTTGAGAGAAATAATGCTGGGCAAAGATTAATCGCAATTAATCACAATTATTCACTTCACAATCACGATTAAGTTTGGCCTAGTACACTGAGAGCTACTTTTTTTGGTACTGATTAATGTAAAAGGCTACCAGTTTGATACATGGTGCTTTTTGACCCTCCAAAAAATTTATTCATTCAATCATTCTTTCATTTTCTTGTCGGCTTAGTCCCTTTATTAATCTGGGGTCGCCACAGTGGAATGAACCGCCAACTTATCCAGCACATTTTTACGCAACAGATGCCCTTCCAGCCGCAACCCATCTCTGGGAAACATCCACAAACTCTCATTCACACACACTCATACACTACGGACAATTTAGCCTACCCAATTCACCTGTACTGCATGTCATGATCATTTATTCTCTTTTCCGCATGTTGAGAGAAATCAGGAGTAAGTGTAGATGTGTGTGTTGTGTACAATGTGTGATAATTATTTTCACGGTTTAGTTTAGTTTCTGCAGAGATGAGACTTGAGCAGTGTTGTGGGTAATGTGAGTTACGTAATAATATTACTTTTCTAAGTAACGAATAAAGTAACCCATTACTTTTAAAAACTAAAGTAAAAATATTTGAGTTACTTTTTTGAAAATGTTTCACGAGTTACTACTTAGTTTAGTTCACTTTTACAAAATGTTGACTTTTTTTAAGGGTAAAATTACGTGAAATGTTATACCATGTGTTGGTAATCGCAGAGCTCCTCTTTTAAAAACAAAAAAAAGAAAAAGTAAGGTCTCAAACAGATCAAGTCTCAGCCAGGTCAGAAAAAGTAGCTCAAAGTAATGTAATGCATTTCTTACTTTTAAAAGTAACTAAGTAAATCAACTAGTCACTTTAGTTGCTTTCCCTAACACTGATCTTGAGTAATATCTGAGAGAAAAAAAATTGTAATACTGTATCTAAGACTACTTTTAGATTACATTTAAATTACTTTTATGGTAACAATTAGATTACTTTTATGGTGATAAACTGAATACTTTTAGATTACATTTAGATTAATTTATGGTCACAGATTACTTTTACTTATTACAGATTATTTTTATGGTCAAACATATTTTATGGTAACAAACTGACTACTTTTAGATTACATTTAGATTACTTTTATGGTTAGAATTAGATTTATTTTTATGGTGACAAACTGACTACTTTCAGATTACATTTAGATTACTTACGGTAACTTTTAGATCTTTTTTATAGTAACAAATGGACAACTTTCAGATTACATTTAGATTACTTTTATGGAAACATTTAGATTATTTTAAGGTAACAAACTGACTACTTTCAAATTACATTTAGATTACTTTTATGGTAACAAACTGACTACTTTTAGATTACATTTAAATTACTTTCATGGTCACAGATTACTTTTATTACTTATCAGATTACTTAGATTACTTTTATGGTCAAAGTTTTTTATGGTAACAAACTGACTACTTTTAGATTACTTTAATGGTCACGTTTAGATTACTTTTATGGTAACAAACTTACTACTAGCAGATTACATTTCAATTACCATGTAATAATATAAATGTTTAAAAAAGAGAAAAATGTGATTCAATAACTCATGAACAAATTACTGCCATTGTGTAAATAATATGTAATCAGAAGTTTAGTTTAGTATCTTCAGAGATGAGACTCATAACAGATTATCCTGAATAATATCAGAGAGAAAATAAGCATTTGCAATATCTGGTGCATTTAGTCAGTTTCAGTGGTGTTTTTGACCTGACTGGGGGTTGCCATGTTATCATTTCACATGACTAGAGTGTTTTTATTTAAGTCACACTATGTACTACACTAACACTATGTACTTTATTAATGACATTTGAAGTGGATCAAGAGTATAGTCGTCTGTAAAAACACAACAGGGATGCAAAATATAAGACTACCAGTGAAAAATCGTTTATATGTCAGATTCCTATTTTTGACATTATGCATTTTTAATTTTGATTTGGATGGAATAGCATGCATGTTTTGCTAAATAAATTGTTGTGAAAATCACAAGTAAACATATTTAATTTAATTTCATTATTTTATTTCATTTTAGGGTCAGAGTACAGTATATGCAACATTTATTATGGGTTGCCAATAGTTAAGTAGCTCTTTAAGGCTAAAAAAATGAAGATTGTATATTTCCTGGAGCCTCATGAACTACATCTGACCTTCAGTGGAAACCGTCTAAATGTAAATGAACTGGTTTCATCTTTGCGAGTTAAAGATGGTAAAACAGATACACTTTTTTAGGGTAAACATGTGTCAGATAAATTAACTGGACTTATTTTTATAGGTTTCAAGAGGTACACGTTGCAGGTTATCAGTGCATTTTGTTCATTAAAATGTTTTTTATTATCAAGTTTTGTATTATTTTAGTTATTAAAGCTAAATAATCTCAGTGAGCCCACCAATGCATGTTCAACTATTATAGAGTAAATGGTGTCGAAATTGCTTATTATAACTTTTATTAGTTTACTAAAATCAACACCTTAAACGATGACATCTACTATCTGTTTTTATTCAAGGTAAAATATTATTTAGCAAAACAACTTACATGCATTAATTTATACCAACAATACTTTTAAGCTTATTAAGGTAACATTTACAAGTTTCAACTTATCAAATATCCGGTAAACTAATAACATAACGTCTATCTCAGGAGTCACCAACCTTTTTATAACTGAGAGCTTCTTCATGGGTACTGATTAATGTAAAGGGCTACCAGTTCGACACACACTGCTAATATAACAAATTTGCTAAATTTAGCTTTAATTATATGTTATTATAAATAAATAAATAAATAGTTATAGAGTTTCATCTAAGCTAATCTATCAATTAATTTAAATATTTTTTGGCATTTTAAGGAACTGTTTTATTTTCTTTCTTATTAGTCTTTAATAAGTAGAAATATCTGAAGTAACGCATTGCAAGTCAGCACGTTTGATAGGCTACTAAAATAAACAGTGGCATAAGAATGGTAATGTCTAGTGGATTTATATTAATTCAAATATTGCATAACCTCACTGAGCCAACGAATAAATAACACCAGCAGAAGTGTTGTTGTTTCAGGTTAATCATGTAGAAACAACACTTTAAGCAAACGATTAGTTTCTCCAAGTTTAATTAAACATCATTACTCACTATTTTTGTGTGTATTAGTAAGTATTGTGTGTGTGTTTGTGTGTTCAGGCTGCTCAGCTCAGTATTGGTGCCTTCATCATCTGCATTGGCAGCCTCCTGTCTCTCGACTACAGTACAGTTCATCTGATATACACCCTACCTAGTGTACTGGTGAGAACATCACAATCTAAAAAATAATAATAAAAATATAAAGATATTTTTAAGGTGTGTGTGTGTGTGTGTGTGTGTGTGTGTGTGTGTGTGTGTGTGTGTGTGTGCATTTGGTTAACCTTGTGCAATAATGATCTGTAATTTTAGTTCATTGCTACTGGCGTTATGACCTTTGCATCTGGAAGTTCTCCATTTATGCCAGTGGTGAGTGAAATCCTGCTCATATCTGTATTTTATCTTAGTTTCATCTGTTGGATTACATTAAGATTACTTTTATTGTAACGTAATCTGATTAGTTTTGGATTACATTTAGATTACTTATGATAACTTTAGATCACTTACGGTAATGTAAGCTGACTACTTTCAGATTACATTTATGGAAAAAAAATCTGATTAGTTTGGATTACATTTAGATTACTTTTATGGTAATGTGATCTGACTGCTTTCTGATTACGTTGAGAGTATTATAAATTTTGGATTCCATTTAGATTACTTTTATGGTAATATTTAGATTACTTTTATAGTAATGCAATCTTACTGCTTTCAGATTGCATTGAGAGTATTATAAATTTTGGATTACATTTAGATTATGTTTATGGAAAGGTAAACTGACTACTTTTAGATTACATTTAGATTACTTTTATGGTCACATTTAGATTATTTTAATGGTAATGTAAACAACCCGGGCTCATTGTGGAAACGTAGCCCGGCGGATGTTTCTGCGGACCGCGATTTACGTCCCGGGAGTTACGTATTCGAGCGGTTTTTGTTTTCGCAGATCCGCGAGAGGTCGCTGTGCGCGCTTTTTCGCGTCTCGGGCGCCTCTCGGGAGCGCGCGCCGCTCGCGCCCGCTCTGTTCTCACGAGAAAAGCCGCCAAATCGGCCGAACCAGCCGCCCTCCTCTTCCTCCTCCTTCTCCTCCTCCTTCCCTAAACCCAAGCGACAGTTTGCAAAAGCCGTCCAGAAAGAGAAAAAAAAAAAAAAAGCAAAAGCCCTCGTCTTCAATTTCGACCGCGTTTTCAGATCCTGCCGCGTTCTCGCCCTTATTTTTCGGATTCTGTTTTTCATCTTACCTGATTTCTGGAACCGCTGTTCCCTGGACTCGATCCCGGTCGTCAACCCCGCGGCCGGCTCCTCCTCCTCTCCTCCTCCTCTCCTCCTCCGGGGCCTTCGCTCTGCCGACGCAACGCTGTGAGCTAAGCGGACAAACTGGTTGCATCGGGAAAGCCCTCCACTCGGAGGTGAGCCGTCGGCCGGCGAGCGCGAAGAGGAGGAGCTGACAACGCCACACCGCCCCGCAACGTTCGCTCGAAAAAAACTAAACGCGGCCTTACGTACCTCCGGCCACGTAAATCGCGGTCTCCAGAAATGTCCGCTGGGCTACATTTCCAGAATGAGCTTGGGTTGAATGTAAATTGACTACTTTCAGATTACATTTAGATTACTTTTATAAAAATGAAATTTGATTAGTTTGGATATCATTTAGATTACTTTTATGTTAATGCAATCTGACTGCTTTCAGATTGCATTGAGAGTATTATAAATTTTGGATTACATTTATAATATGTTCATGGTAATGTAAACTGATTACTTTCAAATTATATTTAGATTACTTTTATGGAAACGAAATCAGTTTGGAAATTAGTTTGGATTCCCTTTAGATTACTTTTATGGTAACATTTAGATTACTTTTAAGGTAATGCAATCAGACTTCTTTCAGATTGCATTGAGAGTATTATAAATTTTGAATTACATTTAGATTACTTTCATGATCACGCAGTCTGACTGTTTTCTGATTACATTGAGAGTATCATAAATTTTGGTTTACTTTTATGGTAATATTTAGATTCATTTCCTGGTAACATAAACTGACTACTTTCAGATTAAATTTAGATTACTTTTATGGTAAGATTTGGAATATTTTTATGGTAATATAAACTGACTACTTACAGAATACTATTATATATTTAAGATATAAGATTCTATGAATTGTGAACAACTTTACATGATTACAGATTATTTACACAATATTAGTAATCAAAGTGACTTTAAAGTATTTGAAAATAGTTTTGACAGGACAGTAAGAACGGGTTTAAACTAAGACAATCTGTGTTTTTTATTCTGCACTCTGTACTATGTATATAGCCTTAAACATGTTTACTCTAATTGCAAGCACTTGATTTTTGGTATCTAGTTAAGTAATGAAGATTACATTAAATCGCTTATGCTGTTGTTATTGTTGTTGTGAAAGGTGAAGCTGTCCTTCATCTTCAACATCATCAGCCTCTTCTGGTCCATCACCCTTCTGGTTCTCTGCCCATTATTATCAGCGGAGACCTCATTTGTATGATATTTGCTCATTCTCACACATATACTGGAAAATGTATAGAAGGTCGGCAGAAGTAATTTTTATTTATTCATTCATTTTACAGGATTCCAGTCCTGACGAAACCAGAAAGGTAGTTTGCTGCAAACATACACGATGAACCGATGATTATTATCATTTGTACAATCATTAATTTATTGTTCTTGGCAGATTATATTTTAAGAAATACAATCATTTGGCCTATATATATATATATATATATATATATACACACACAGTTCAAATCAGAAGTCAGAATTATTAGCCCCCCTTGCCATTTTTTTCTTCTTTTTTTAAATATTTCCCAAATGATGTGTAACAGAGAAATAAAATTTTCACAGTATGTCTGATAATATTTTTTCTTCAGGAGAAAGTCTTATTTGTTTTATTTCAGCTAGAATAAAAGCAGTTTTTAATTTTTAAACGCCATTTTAGGAACAAAATTATTAGCCCCTTTAAATAAATCAGTTATTGGAAAAGAGTTGTTGAAGTTCTTTTTTAGTTATTAATAACAAAAAAAAATATTTAATATTATTAATAACTTTTTTGATTATAAATTTGTTGAAAAAAAACTGCTCTGTTAAACAGAAATTGGGGAAAAAAATAAACCAGCAGTCTAATATTTTAGGGGGGCTAATAATTCTGACTTCAACTGTATATATATATATATATATATATATATATATATATATATATATGTATATATGTATGTATGTATATGTATATATATATATATATATATATATATGTATATGTATATGTATATATATAAAATATTGTTATTATTTTAATAGATATGCATGAGTAATTTATTTATACACTCTGGAAAAAAACATTGAAACACCTTGTTAATATAATAAATATAATACAAATTAATACATTTATTAATTAAATAAAAATTAATCATTTTTTACAAACAAATGTGTGAAACAAACATGAAATAGTTTAGTTCATCAAACTGGGGCAATAATAATTCATTGTTAATAATAATAATTTGCATGTTCCTCCAAACATTTGAGATAATGTATCTACACACAGTGCTCATAATAAATGAGTACACAGCCCTTTTGAAAATTTGTATCCATTTCTCAGTGAATATAGACAATAATTGTTGAAGCATTTAAACAAAACAGTTTAATAAACAGCTATATTCATTAATATAAGTTACCAATAGTTTGGTCACTGAATCTTTAGGAAGAGAAAGATAAGCATTTAAATGCATACAAGTTATTGCAAAAAAAATTACAGGCTACAAAATGTCAACAAAATTTTATATTTCTTTTTTTTTTCCTGTTTATCACAGTTGTATTTAATATTTTCCTTCACATATTAATTCAGGTGTATAATGTTTGTACTGTGATCTTCAGTTTTCTTGTTAGATTAGTACATCAGTTTGTCTTTGGTACTGACTAATCCGATGTATATGCACAAACTAGCCGGAACAGTGTCGTTAACGTGTGTGTGTGTGTGTGTGTCCTCCAGTTACCGATGTTCATTGGGCTGAAGGCTGTGATCGGTGTTTTGGGTGGGCTTGAGCTGATTCTGGCTCTGGTTCTGATCTACTGGGAGAGTAAAGCTGTGTGCAGACCTCACTTCAACACTCTGGTAATCATTAAACATTATTATTATGTCGAAACTACAGCATATGCTCAATGGGGCTGCATAATGCTGGAAAAATACGCAATATGCTATACTGTTGTTGTATATACACAGAAACTTTTAATAATATTTAGATAATTATGCAATGTACAGTTGAAGTCAGAATTATTCGCCCCCCTGAATTATTAGCCCAACGTTTATTTTCCCCCAATTTCTGTTTAACGGAGAGCAGATTTTTTTAACACATTTCTAATCATTATAGTTTTAATAACTCATCTCTAATAACTGATTTATTTTCTCTTTATCATGATGACAGTAAATAATATTAGACTAGATATTCTTCAAGACACTTCTATACTGCTTAAAGCGACATTCAAAGGCTTAACTAGGTTAATTAGGGTAACTAGACAGGTTAGGGTAATTAGGCAAGTTATTGTATAAGAGTGGTTTGTTCTGTAGACTATCTGGAAAAAAATTAGCTTAAAGGGGCTAATAATTTTGTCCTCAAAATGGTGTTTAAAAAATTAAAACTGCTTTTAGTTGAAATAAAACAAATAAGACATTTTCCAGAAGAAAAATATTATCAGACATACTGTGAACATTTCTTTGCTCTGTTGCTCATTTTGAAATATTTAAAAAAAAAGAAGAAAAAAATCAGAAGGAGGGCGAATAATTCTGACTTCAAGTGTAATGTTCAACTTCTGCTGCTCTTCATTTCAGCCCTTGATCACCATCAAGCAAGACATGTGATTGGACGGTTGGTTGACGGATGAGCCAATCACAGTCGGGGTTTCTCCATGTGGTCACATGTGAATTTGTATTATTGTGTATATACTTGTTCATGTCTTTTTAATGCCTCTGCTTGTAGAGTTTGAGCGTCAGTATGACTGTCAACATTTTAAATGTCTAGTTATATAACATGTTTCACATTGTAAATTGCTTTATTTAAAAGATGTATTGGCATTTAGATATGCAAATACATACAGTGCTCAGCATATATAAGTACACCCCTCACAAATCTCTCTTTTAAATTCATATTTTTAATAGGAAGCTCTACAATATTATGTTTGTGCATATATATATATATTAGATTAGTCAGTATTAAAACTAAATCTAGAGCTTTTCTAACAAAATAACTTACAATAACAGCCCAAAAACTAGTACAGCCAAATTTGTGTTAAAAAAAAAAATATTAAATACAAATTTAAAACAGAAGAAGAAGCAAAAGAAGCAAAAACAATTTTGAAAAATTTAGTTGAAGTTTTGTAGGTTGTAATTGTTTTTGTGATATTTAGCGCTTGAATTTAAATGTATTAACTTTTTAATTTCTAAATATGTTTGGTGACTAAAATATTATTTTAATAAATATCTCTGTTTAATAAATCTGTTTTGTTTAAATGCATCAAAATACACTGCCTATATTCACTCAGAAATGGAGAAACATATTCATTTTCAAAATGGGCTGTACTCAGTTATGCTGAGCACTGTACATGTAAGTACACAAGCTTGAACTTTTAAACTACTTATTAATACTGTTATTTAAAATGTGTTGAAAAAATATTCATTAAACAGCACTTAAAAATATTTAATAGACAAAGTTTTACAGGACTGCTAATAATTTTGACTGACTATAAAATATGTATATATACACACATGCTGTATACTGGTTACACTTGATTTTTAATCCTTGTTACGGTGTAACTTAACATCTGAGTAATATAAATGAAATGCATGTACTTACAATATAGTTCTTATAAGGTTAGAATGCAGTTTATAATTGCACATTATTAAAAATGCTGGGTTGTTTAAAATCTTACACTGTGGTAGACAAATAACATAAAAAACATCATTTAAATTTCATTGAAAATATTAATCAGACATTGTTTATCCAGATGACCCAACTTTGCTTAAACAACACAGCATTGTTTTTAGTGTATGCATCATTAATTGCATATAGTATATACTGTATGTGGAACATCTTTATCAAAGACACCTGAAAGCACCCTAAAGTGTTATCAAAATATTTTACAGATGTAAATAAAGAGTACTCGAGTGTTTTCACATACACACTAAGAAATCCTGGGTCATTTAAACCCACATTAGGTAAAATATGGACTAATCCAAACATTGGGTTAAATTTAGTCCTTTTAATTTAATTTTAAAAAATAAACCCCGCAGTTAGTCCACACTGCACCCAGAATTGGGTTGAAATAACCCGGCATTTTAAGAGTGTAATTAAATAGATATGTATATAATGACCCAGTTTTTTAGTGCATAATTAATTGTGATTACTAACATGTTCATCAAAGACTAATTAAAATAAAATGTTAACAAAACATGTCTTGCATTGTAAATAAACATTACTGGAGTGTGTTTTTGTATTCATTGCTTTATTGGCCATTTCTTGTGTAAATGTTTGTGAAATTGAGCAATTTCTGGATGAATGTGTCGTTTTAGACTATTATTTTTCCATGTAGTTAAAAAAAGTACGTTTTTAAACTTCCCATCTGAGTTTAGATGATATTTAATCAGGAGTGCTGTATGGTTGTGAGATAGGGAGAGGTTTTATTATCAGTTCCTCTTGAATTACACCTCATCACACTGACAGGAAAGCAGGTTTTATTATAAGATGAGCAAACTCTGTTCATTCTTCTTCAGAAACCACAGCTGCTGCTGACCGTGCAGACGTGTGAAGACCTGCAGGCGCTCGAAACACTGAAAACAACCACATCAGATTCTAATGCAGCTAATAGATTTCAGTCAAACAACAGCAGAAAATGTGCAGTGGTTAAAAACATGCGGTGATATGAGTTTTGCTGCTGTTACGATGCACAATGTAAACTCCATCATATTGACCACAACTATATCTTTTATCAGAATAAATTCATGCTAAATTATTAATAACTCAATACAAAGAAATATCTCACCCCCACCATCACAAATAAACAGCAGCGACAACCTTAGAGCATTTGCACACCTCAGTCACACAATGCAGATACAAATTCCAAATCATTTAAAATATGTACAGTTTTAGCACTATATTTATATGATATCTGTAGATCTGTTTGCAGCAGTACTTTGTCAAATTTATTCTTATCTATATTCAGATGAGATGTGCAAAACTTTAGTTTCATTCCCATCTATTTGATGATGTACACCAACAGGCCCGTGCAGAGATCGTCCGAAGGGCATGTGCAGGATAAATTTTTCAAGAGCGGGAGGGGGAGGGGGTGTGTGGGGGGGGGGTTGTTGCGCGTGTACTGAAGAGCGGTGTTGTCGTGCACGTTCTGATCAGCTGTGTTGTCGCGCGCTTACTGAAGAGCGGGACCGAGGGTGTGCCGCGTCGCGGGGGCACTTTTGATCATTTTGGAAGGGCACTTTCTATCCAAGACTAAAAAGGGCATGTGCACTGCACAGGTTGAGCCCTATGTGTGCACGTGCCTGTACACCAAACTTTATGGTTTTATTCACATCTATATTCTCTTTACACACCAAACTTTAGTTTTTCCTATATATTTTATTTTCATTAAACACCTAACTTTAGTTTTTCCTATATATTTATATTCAGTTTACACACTAAATGTTACACTTTTAATTATTTATACTGTTTACACCAAACTTTACACTTTTATTCTTATTTATATTGTATTTACACACTAAACTTTACACTTTTAATCATTTATATTGTGTTAATACCAATCTTAAACTTTTATTCCTATTTATATCCTGTTTACACACCAAACTTTAGTTTTATTCCTATTTATATTCAGTTTAGTTACACCTTTTTTGTTTTATTCCTATCTGTTGTTTACACACTCCAAACTTTAGTTTTTCCTATATTTATATTCTGTATACACACAAAACTTTACACTTTTATTCCTATTTAGGTTCTGTGTATACACACCTAACTTTAGTTTTACTATTTATATTCTGTTTACACACCAAATTTTAGACCTTTAATCATATTTATATTCTGTTTACACACCAAACTTTACACTTTTATTCCTATTTAGGTTCTGTGTATACACACCTAACTTTAGTTTTACTATTTATATTCTGTTTACACACCAAATTTTAGACCTTTAATCATATTTATATTGTGTTTACACCAAACTTTAGTTTTATTACTATTTATATTCTGTTTACACACCAAACTTTACACTTTTATTCCTGTTTATATTCTGTTTACACACTAAACTTTACACTTTAATTCCTGTTTATATTCTGTTTACACACCAAACTTTACACTTTTAATCCTATTTATATTGTTTACACACCAAACTTTACATTTAAAATCATATTTATAGTGTTACACCAAACTTTAGTTTTATTCCTATTTTTACACACCAAAACTTTACACTTTTATCCTATTTATATTCAGTTTACACACCAAAATTTTACACTATTAATCCTATTCATATTCTGTTTACACACCAATTTTTACACTTTAAATCCTATTTATATTCTGTTTACACACCAAACTTTACACTTTTAATCATGTTTATAGTGTTTACTCCAAACGTTACACTTTGAATCCTATTTATATTCTGTTCATACACCAAACGTTACACTGAATCATGTTTATAGCGTTTACTCCAAACTTTACACTTTTAATCCTATTTATATTCTGTTTACACACCAAACTTTACACTTTTAATCCTATTTATTTTCTGTTTACACACCAACCTTTACACTTTAATCTTATTTATATTCTATTTACACACCAAACTTTACACTTTTAATCCTATTTATTTTCTGTTTACACACCAACCTTTATACTTTAATCTTATTTATATTCTATTTACACACCAAACTTTACACTATTAATCCTATTTATATTCTGTTTACACACCAAACGTAACATTTTTAATCCTATTTATATTCTGTTTACACACCAAACTTTACACTTTTAATCCTATTTATATTCCATTTACACACCAAACTTTACACTTTTAATCCTATTTATTTTCTGTTTACACACCAAACTTTACACTTTAATCCTATTTATATTCTGTTTACACACCAAACTTTACACTATTAATCCTATTTATATTCTGTTTACACACCAAACTTTACACTTTTAATCCTATTTATTTTCTGTTTACAGCCCAAACGTTACCCTTTTAATTCTATTTATATTATGTTTACACAACACACTTAACACTTTAATCCTATTTATATTCTGTTTACACACCAAACTTTAAACTTTTAATCCTATTTATATTCTATTTACACACCAAACTTTACACTTTTAATCCTATTTATTTTCTGTTTAAACACCAACCTTTACACTTTAATCTTATTTATATTCTGTTTACACACCAAACTTTACACTATTAATCCTATTTATATTCTGTTTACACACCAAACTTTACACTTTTAATCCTATTTATTTTCTGTTTACACACCAAACTTTACACTTTTAATCCTATTTATATTCTATTTACACACCAAACTTTACACTTTTAATCCTATTTATTTTCTGTTTTCACACCAACCTTTACACTTTAATCCTATTTATATTCTGTTTACACACCAAACTTTACACTTTTAATCCTATTTATATTCTGTTTACACACCAAACTTTACACTTTTAATCCTATTTATATTCTATTTACACACCAAACTTTACACTTTTAATCCTATTTATTTTCTGTTTAAACACCAACCTTTACACTTTAATCTTATTTATATTCTATTTACACACCAAACTTTACACTATTAATCCTATTTATATTCTGTTTACACACCAAACGTAACATTTTTAATCCTATTTATATTCTGTTTACACACCAAACTTTACACTTTTAATCCTATTTATATTCTATTTACACACCAAACTTTACACTTTTAATCCTATTTATTTTCTGTTTACACACCAACCTTTACACTTTAATCCTATTTATATTCTGTTTACACACCAAACTTTACACTATTAATCTTATTTATATTCTGTTTACACACCAAACTTTACACTTTTAATCCTATTTATTTTCTGTTTACACACCAAACTTTACACTTTTAATCCTATTTATATTCTATTTACACACCAAACTTTACACTTTTAATCCTATTTATTTTCTGTTTTCACACCAACCTTTACACTTTAATCCTATTTATATTCTGTTTACACACCAAACTTTACACTTTTAATCCTATTTATATTCTGTTTACACACCAAACTTTACACTTTTAATCCTATTTATATTCTATTTACACACCAAACTTTACACTTTTAATCCTATTTATTTTCTGTTTAAACACCAACCTTTACACTTTAATCTTATTTATATTCTATTTACACACCAAACTTTACACTATTAATCCTATTTATATTCTGTTTACACACGAAACGTAACATTTTTAATCCTATTTATATTCTGTTTACACACCAAACTTTACACTTTTAATCCTATTTATATTCTATTTACACACCAAACTTTACACTTTTAATCCTATTTATTTTCTGTTTACACACCAACCTTTACACTTTAATCCTATTTATATTCTGTTTACACACCAAACTTTACACTATTAATCTTATTTATATTCTGTTTACACACCAAACTTTACACTTTTAATCCTATTTATTTTCTGTTTACAGCCCAAACGTTACCCTTTTAATTCTATTTATATTATGTTTACACAACACACTTAACACTTTAATCCTATTTATATTTTGTTTACACTTTTAATCCTATTTATATTCGTTTAAACACCAACTTTACACTTTTAGTCCTATTTATATTCGTTTACACACCAAACACTAGCGTTTTATTCACAAACACACCAGACCTTTTTATTCACAGTGTATTCTAATTAACCGTAAACTTCAGTATTATTCCAGTGCATGTTGGCTTATTGGTTTGTTTAAATATAATTTTCTTAATCGTACGTTACAGTAGTTTATTCCAATAACCACGGAGGTAATGTGTTTTAGCTCTCTGTTAACAACAATACCTTTAGTAGAAACCTTTGCCCTTCACTTTAGAGCCACTGCACGTGTGTGTGTGTGTGTGTGTGTGTGTGTGTGTGTGTGTGTGTGTGTGTGTGTGTGTGTAAATGCCACAGCAGCAGCAGTGTGTGACCTTGTCAGGAGCGCGTGAGGAACTCAAACAAACAGCGCGTTATGTTTGACTCCTCCAGCTCGCCATAGCGGCTGCGCGCCCCTCTCCTCCCGCACACCAATGAAAAAGCACGAATTGTCTGTTTTCCCCCAAAGTGTCCTCCATCTTCCAGAAACACACACACAGACACCACTACAACCAGCAGCAGCAGCTCCTCATCCATGCATTAGCCGAGCTGCACACATGTGTGTCGGCTGCAGGAGAGACCAACACGGAGGAGACAAAAAACCATCATGGCGACCACCTTCAGGTCTCAGACTCTCAGCAAAGATGATGTCAACTACAGGATGCATTTCCGCATGATCAACGAGCAGCAGGTGGAGGACATCACCATCCAGTTCTTCTACAAACCGCACACCATCAGCCTGCTGACCGTCACCGTGCTCAGCCTCATGTACTTCGCCTTTACGCGGTAAGAGTGAGCGTGTGTGTGTGTGACGCACAAAAAGTGTGAATCTGCAGCGTCACGTGATCACTTTCACTAGCTTACTTTCATCAGGATTGATGTGTTTGTTGATCTGAGGTCAGCCGTTATGCTTGTGTTCACGAGAATAACGAATTTGCGCATTTAAAATGCACAGTTCTGCACTTCCGGGGAAAACAAACATAAATATTGATGACGTCATCCTGCACGGCTATGTAAAAAGACAGCGTCATTGCTTGTGGTACAGCTGATTTCTTGAAGTAAACAAGCATAAACAGAATGATCTTGACTTTCTTGAATCCTTAAAGGGGTAGTTCACCCAAAACTCATTTTTTTGTCATGGTTTACTCACCCTTCACGTGTCACAACCCTTCATTGTTTTGTCTCTTTAAATGCAAATGAGCTGCTGCTCTCTTTTTCAGAAGTGGGCGGAGCCATGCACAATTAAAATTAATTTATGGGAAGACAAACATAAATATTGATGATGTCATCCTTTCAATTGGTGACATACACATTTTTTTATTTGATGATATGCTTTGTAAAAATACAGCATCATTGGCAGTGCAAAATAATATATAATATTACTATATTGATATATTTAAACTATTTTCAAACTATTGTGTTCCTTTAAAGAGATAGTTCTCCCAAAACCGAATATTTTAATGGTTTACTCACACTTTACTAGAAACAAATTTTCATTTTTGTGTCTCTTTAAATGCAAATGAGCTGCTGCTCTCCTACCCTTTTCAGAAGTGGGCGGAGCCTTTACAGCATCTGCTTTTGTTACTGCAGAAACCACAATAAAGACTGCAACGTCACATGATCACGTTCACTGGCTCTGTAAAAAATTTCTACTGGGAAAACAAACATTGATGACATCGTCCTCCACTAAGTCACATACAACAGTTTTTTTTGTAAAAACACATCGACATTAACGAAAGAATATTGACTCAATATTATAGGACTTGTCATAATTACCGAGAGAATATTAACTTATTATATGACACGTCGTCATTAGTGAAAGAATATTGACTTATTATTATATGACACTTCGTCATTAGCGAAAGAATATTGACTTATTATTATATGACACTTCGTCATTAGCGAAAGAATATTGACATTATTATATGACACGTCGTCATTAGCGAAAGAATATTGACTTATTATTATATGACACTTCGTCATTAGCGAAAGAATATTGACATTATTATATGACACGTCGTCATTAGCGAAAGAATATTGACTTATTATTATATGACACGTTGTCATTAGTGAAAGAATATTGACTTATTATTATATGACACGTCGTCATTAGTGAAAGAATATTGACTTATTATTATATGACACGTCGTCATTAGTGAAAGAATATTGACTTATTATTATATGACACGTCGTCATTAGCGAAAGAATATTGACATTATTATTATGACACGTCGTCATTAGCGAAAGAATATTGACTTATTATTATATGACACATCGTCATTAGCGAAAGAATATTGTCTTATTATTATGACATGTCGACATTAACAAAAGAATATTGACTTATTATATGACACATCGTCATTAGCAAAAGAATATTGTCTTATTATTATATGACGCGTCCTCAGTAACGAAAGAATATTGACCTATTTTTATATGAAACATCGACATTAACAAAATAATATTGACTTATTATTATATGACACGTCGACATAAAGGAAAGTATATTGACTTATTATTATATGACTCGTCGTCATTGACGAAAGAATATTGACATATTATTGTATAACACGTCATTATTAGCGAAAGTATATTAACTTATATGACACATCGTCACTAACGAAAGTATATTGACTTAATATATGACACATCGACATTAACAAAAGAATATTGACTTATTATTATATGACACGTCAACATTAACAAAAGAATATTGACATATTATTGTATGACACGTCATTATTAGCGATATTATATTGACTTATATGACACATCGTCACTAACGAAGGTATATTGACTTAATATATGACACATCGACATTAACAAAAGAAAATTGACTTATTGTATGACACGTCATTATTAGCAAAAGAATATTGACTCGTTATATTACACATCGTTATTACCAAAAGTATATTGACTTGTTATTAAATGATACGTCATCATTAACAGAAGAATACTGACTAATTATATGACACATCATCATTAATAAAAGTATATTGACTTATTATTATGTGACAAGTTGTCATCAACAAAAAAAATATTGACTTATTATTATGACATGTCATTATTAGCAAAAGAATATTGATTTATTATTATATGACACGTCTTTATTAGCGAAAGAATATTGACTTATTATTTAACACATCGTCATTAACATAAGTATATTGACTTATTAATTGACACGTCGTCATTAACGAAAGAATATTGACTTATTATGACAGCTCGTCATTAACGAAAGTATATTGACTTATTATTATATGACACGTCGTAATAAGCAAAAGAATATTGACTTATCATTATGACGTGTCATCATTAATGAAAGAATATTGACATTATTATATGACACATCAACATTAACATGTTACTAATGCCAGATATTATTATATTTATTTACTTAAACTGTACTTAAAGTCTTTTGTTCCCCTTAAAGGGATAATTCAGCCATAGCAAAAAATTACTTGTCACAAACCTTCATTTTTTTGTGTCTCTTTAAATGCAAATGAAATGAGCATCACATCTGCTCCCCTCCCCTTTACAGATGTGGGAGGAGCCTTTACATCCTTAGCTTCTGTTACTTCAGAAACCACAACAAACACCGTATCTGCATACTGCTTAAACCCTAATCAGTTGACATGGTTTTCTGAGCACACAGAAAACAGACTGTGAGGTCACATGTCATGCGAAACAGAGCCAACAACACATCACTCACTCAAATTAATTATTTAAATTGTGGATACCGAGACATGTTCTTTCCGGGAACAAAACTCAAGACTACAGTGGGGGTGTTATTGATATACAGAGACTTCTTGCAGATCTCTTTCATGCCTAAACAACAATGTTATGCATTAAAGGGAGCGGAAAGAGTAAAAAACATTATCAGGACTGGGAGACATGATAAATATCTCATGTCACAATACAAGTGTTATGTCCTAAAATTGATATTTATGTTTATATCACATTATAGTACCATTCTTGTAAATTCAATCAATTAATAGTTTATTTACTCTCACCGGCCACTTTATTAGGTACACCTGTCAAACTGTTTGTTTTTCTAATCAGCCAATCACATGGCAGCAACTCAATGCATTTAGGCATGTAGACATGGTCAAGACGATCTGCTGCAGTTCAAACTGAGCATCAAAATGGGGAAGAAAGGGGATTTAAGTGACTTTAAACATTGCATGGTTTTTGCTGCCAGACGAGCTGCTCTGAGTATTTGAGAAACTGCTGATCTACTGGGATTTTCACGCACAACCATTTCTAGGGTATACAGAGAATAGTCAGACAAAGAGGAAATATCCAGTGAGCGGCAGTTCTGTGGGCGCAAATGCCTTGTTGATGCCAGAGGTCAGAGGAGAATGGCCAGACTGGTTCCTTCTGATAGAAAGGCAACAGTAACTCAAATAAGCACTCGTTACAACCGAGCTCTGCAGAAGAGCATCTCTGAACACACAACACGTCCAACCTTGAGGCGGATGGGCTACAGCAGCAGAAGACCTAAGAACAGGAAACTGAGGTTACAATTCACAGAGACTCACCAAAACTGGACAATAGAAGATTGGAGAAACGTTGCCTGCTCTGATGAGTCTCCATTTCTGCTGACACATTCGGATGCTCAGGTCAGAATTTGGCCTCAACAACATGAAAGCATGGATCCAATCCTGCCTTGTGTCAGCGGTTCAGGCTGGTGGTGGTGGTGTAATGGTGTGGGGGAGATTTTCTTGGCACACTTTGGGCTCATTAGTACCAACTGAGCATCGTGTCAACGCCACAGCCTACCTGAGTATTGCTGCTGACCATGTCCATCCCTTTATGAGCACAGTGTCTCCATCTTCTGATGGCTACTTCCAGCAGGATAACACACCATGTCATAAAGCGTGAATCATCTCAGACTGGTTTCTTGAACATGACAATGAGTTCACTGTACTCAAATGGCCTCCACAGTCACCAGACTCAATCCAATAGAGCACTTTTGGGATGTGGTGGAGCGGGAGATTGGCATCATGGATGTGCAGCCGACAAATCTGCAGCAACTGTGTGATGCTATCATGTCAATATGGAGCAAAACCTCTGAGGAATATTTCCAGTAGCTTGTTGAATCTCTGCCACAAAGGATTAAGGCAGTTCTGAAGGCAAAAGCGGGTCCAAACTGATACAAGTAAGGTGTACCTAATAAAGTGGCCAGTGAGTGAAATATTGAGCACATTTAAATTATTATTTCTGTTTTACATTTTAAAGTATATAATCAGAAATGTCCTTATTCATATGTGATCCTATCTGTCACTTTATTTATCTTAAGGGCAAATATTAATGAAGAATTTGGAAAAATATAACATAAATATTCATTTAATCAATTTCTTTTCGAATTAGTCCCATTATTAATCAGGGTTCGCCACAGCGGAATGAACCGCCAACTTGTCCAGCATATGTTCTAATGCAGCAGATGCCACTCCAGCTGCAACCCATCACTGGGAAACACCCATACCCACTCATTTACACACACACACACTCATACACTACAGCCAATTTAGTTAATCAATTCCCCTATAGGCATTTGTTTGGACTGTGGGGGAAACCTGAGCACCTGGAGGAAACCCACACCAACCTGGGGAGAACATGCAAACTCCACACTGAACCGCCAACTGACCCAGCCAAGGCTCAAACCAGCGACCTTCTTGCTGTGAGGTGATGGTGCTAACTACAGTGCTTATTCACAGTGTCTTATCTAAATTTAGAATTTTAAACTCCGCCTCTGCAAGCTTGCATAAAGGCCCGCCTACAATTTTAATAGCCACGCCCACATTTCAGCATCCAATCAGCGTCATGTTCCTGCCCTACAGTTTTATTTTCCGCTGTCTGTCACAATATGAAACTACTTTCACTTTAGAGGGACTTTTTTTTTGCGACGGGATGATTAAAGGGAAAATTCTTGACACATTTAGCCGGGGGGGGGGGAAGCAGAAGTGCTAATATCAGTTCTCAACTGTACCGGAAATATTCTCTGTGTAGTAAATCTCTCCTGAATGTTCAAATATTCACGTGTTTGTTCTGTCGGCAACACTGTGGCTCAGTGGTGTTGCAATGTGGCCTCACAATAAGAAGGTCGCTGGTTCAAGTGATGACTGGGTCAGTTGGTGTTTCTGTGTGGAGTTTGCATGTTCTCCCCGTGTTGGTGTGGGTTTCCTCCGGTTGCTCCAGTTTCCCCCAGAGTCCAAACACATGTGCTATAGGGGAATTGATCAACTAAACTGGAGTGTTTGTGTGAATGAGTAGGTATGGGTGTTTCCCAGTACTGGGTTGCAGCTGGAAGTGCATTCGCTGTGTAAAACATATGCTGGAAAAGTTGACGGTTCATTCCGCTGTGGTGATCTCTGATAAATGAGGGGACTGTTTGTTCTGTGACTGCATTGAGTTGTTTGACACATCAAACTGTGTACATTTGCTCACGTGTGTTTGTTGTTTGTGTGTCTGTGTGAGTTGTTTTACGGTGTTTCTGTGTGTTTGTTCTGTTTTTATACTCTGTGTTTGTGTTTTGTTTGTTTCTGTGTGTGTGTGTGTGTGTGTGTGTGTGTGTGTGTGTGTGTGTGTGTGTGTGTGTGTGTGTGTGTATATAAGTGTGTGTGGTTTGTTGTAGCCCTTTGTGTGTTTGTTGTGTTTGTGTTGGGTATGTAAGTTAGTTTTTTTGCGTGTATGTCTTAAGTGTGTGTGTGTGTGTGTGTTTGTGTGTGTATTATAGCACTTTGTGTGTGTTTATTGTGTTTATCTGTTGCGTGTGTGTGTGTGTGTGTGTGTGTGTGTGTGTGTGTGTGTCTGTCTCTTCACTTTAAATGTATGTGTGTTTGTTGTGTTTATCTGTTGCGTGTGTTTGTTGTGTTTCTTTGTTGTGTGTGTGTGTGTGTGTGTGTGTGTGTGTGTTCTAGCAGTGTATGTGTGTGTTTGTTGTGTGTGTTTGTTTTGTGTGTGTGTGTGTGTGTGTGTCTTCACTTTGTGTGTATGTGTGTGTGTATTATAGCACTTTGTGTGTGTTTGTTGTGTTTATCTGTTGTGTGTGTGTGTGTGTGTGTGCCTTCACTGTGTTTGTGTATAACATTTTTTTGTTTGTTTGTGTGTGTGTTGTAGCACTGTGTGTGTTTGTTGTGTTTCTCTGTTTTGTGTGTGTGTGTGTAATTTTTTTTAGTTTGTGTGTGTTTCACTGTGTGTGTGTGTGTGTGTGTGTGTGTGTGTGTGTGTGTGTGTGTGTGTGTGTGTGTGTGTGTGTGTGTAAAAAATGTATACATGCACGTGTCAACACCAAAGCTCCAGAAATGTGAATGTGTTAACTTATTAAGCTCATGAAGAGTGTGACAGTTCCAGCACACCGGCTCTTCGTCAGATATCGGCTCTTTATGCATATGAGTGTGCGACTGTATGTGTGTGCGCATATGTGTGTAGTGAACTCTGAGCGTGTGGTGCAGTAGAAACAGGAAGTGTGTGTGTTCTGGTGTGTGTTTATAGTCTGACCGCATGTTTCCTGTGTAGAGATGACGGAGACCCTGACAGTAACCTGCGGGTGGGCCTGATCCTGCTCGTCTCCTTCTTCCTGGTCATCAGTGTTCTGGCTTTCCCAAACGGTGAGAGGATCTCTCACATTCACTAATACAGCTTCAGCAGAGGACAGAATTATACTAATAAAGTGACTGTCACTTTAAATTTAAATGAGATTGTGCTCTTTTCAGAAGAGGGCGGAGCTACAAACGCCTGTGTGTCAGCATAGTGGCAATTCAAAGACAAGACTAACTGTGTCTGTGTCTTTCAGGTCCGTTCACCAGGCCTCATCCAGCAATATGGAGAATAGTGTTCGGTGAGTCAATCAGAGCATCCTGAAGATTCACCAGGATAATAAATGAGGATTTCATATGATGAGTTGCTGAAGTGTGTGTGTCTGTGTGCGCATGTGTGTGTATGTTGAACAGGTCTGAGCGTTCTCTACTTCCTCTTCCTGGTGTTCATCATCTTCCTGAACTGGGATCAGGTGAAGGCTCTGATGTTCTGGCTGGATCCAAACCTGCGCTACGCCAAACGAGAAGCAGACGTCATGGTCAGCACACACACACACACACACACACACACACACACACACACACACACTGCTGTATTACTGAAGGAGGAGTCATACACTGGTCAAGAACAGGAGAATGTCACCTTCTGCAGAGAGATTGTAGACAGAAATTATATAAAATCATATTAAAACTATTTAGAATGTATATCTTGTTTCACAAATAAAAGATATTTAATTTAATTATTAATATTATTACTGGTCCAAAAAATTTGTTAAAGTTTTAAAAATGTTATCAATGTATTTTGAATGATGAATATGTATTATCGGGTAATATGTGTTTATTTCATTCTGTTTCTAAAAATAATTTAGTTTTATTCTATATATATGTTGGTGTATACAATAACACAATGTTTATTAGATAGTGTAGGCTCATCCTGATTGGCTGATTGTGATCATGTAACTGTGTGCTGTGATTGGCAGGAGTATGCAGTGAACTGTCATGTGATCACATGGGAGCGAATCCTGAGTCACTTCGACATCTTCGCATTCAGTCATTTCTGGGGCTGGGGGATGAAGGCTCTGCTGATCCGCAGCTACGGCCTGTGCTGGACTATCAGCATCACCTGGGAGCTCACTGAGGTAAAGCTGCTCACATTGCATCCGAATCACATTGCGTCTAAATCACATCACAACCGAATGTTGTCCAAATCACAATCACATCGTATCACATTGGAATCACATTGGAATCACATCACATCCAAATCTTGTTAGAATCACATCACAGCCACAATCACATTGAAATTATACCCACAATTAGACCTGGATCACATCACACACATTGTCACATCCACATCTGAATCACAGCCACAATCACATGCACATCACATCCACATCACACCCATAATTACATCCACATTGCATCCACATCAGAATAACACCCACAATCACATCTGAATCACATCCACAATTACATGCACATCACATCCACATCACACCCATAATTACATCCACATTGCATCCACATCAGAAAAACACCCACAATCACATCTGAATCACATCCACAATTACATGCACATCACATCCACATCACACCCATAATTACATCCACATTGCATCCACATCAGAATAACACCCACAATCACATCTGAATCACATCCACAATTACATGCACATCACATCCGAAGCACACCACATCATATTCGAATCGCACCACATCCAAATCACATCACACTCGAATCACATCGCATCCGAATCGCATCATCCACATCACAACCACATCAACATCACAATCACATCCAAATTCCAATCACGTCCACATTATAATCACACCCACAATCAAATCCACATCACATCCACATACAAAGCGCACATCACATCTAAAGCACACATCACATCTGAAGCACACATCACATCCAAATCCCATCATCCACATTCCACATCACATCAGATTCTGATCACATCCAAATCGCATCACATATCAATCACATCCAAATCACACCCACAATCACATTCACAGTAGCATCAGAATCGCATCACATATCAATCACATTCACATTCCACATAACCTCTGAATCACATCACATCCGAATAGCATCACATCACAATTACATCCAAATCACACCCACAATCACATCCACGATCACATGCGAAGCACATCACATTCTAATCACATCCGAATCACATCACAACCGAATCCCATCCCACCACAATTACATCCAAATCACACCCACAATCACATCTGAAGCACATCACATCCAAATCACACCCACAATCACATCTGAAGCACATCACATCCAAATCACACCACATCACATCCGAATTATATCACATCCGAAAAGTATCACACCACAAGTCCCATCCGAATCACACCTGAATTACACGCGTATCACAAAAATAGCATCCAAATCATACCTACAATCACATCCAAATCACACCCACAATCACATATGAAGCACATCATATCCAAATCATATCTAAATCCCACCCACAACCACATCTGAAGTACATCACATTCAAATCACACCACATCACATCCATATCACACTACATCAAATCCAAATTGCATCACATCAGAATCACACCCACACTCACAACCGAATCACACCCACAATCACATCTGGACCACATCACATTCTAATCACATTGAATCTGAATCGCATTACATACAGATCACAATCATTCGCATTCCACATCACATCCGAATCACACCCACAATCACATTCTAATAACACCACACCCGAAGTGGATCACAATCACATCTACATATCAGTCACATCCACATTCCACATCACTTCTGAATTAGATCCAAATCACATCACATCTGAATCACATCACACCACAATCGCATCCAAATCACAGCCACACCCACAATCACATCCAAATCATATCCACAATAGCATCCACAATAGCATCCGAAGCACGTTACAGTCTAATCACACTACGTCACAGCCGAATCGCATCACACCACGTCACAGCCAAATGACATCACACCACAATCACATCTAAATCACTCCTACACACACAATCACATCCGAATCACATCCACGTCAAATACACATTATTTTTATTGTCTTATTTAACTTATTCAAATTTTAATTGTCTCATTTGGGTTTCATTTACAGGGCAGTATTTTTTGCTTGACTAGAAAATTATTTAAGAATCTTTAGATATTTGGACTGGAAATGAGACAAAAGAATCAAAGTGTTTTTTGCTGTGTATGGTGTATAATAATGATAATAATAATAACGCTGGTGTGTGTTGTCTCCATGCAGCTGTTCTTCATGCATCTTCTTCCTAATTTTGCGGAGTGCTGGTGGGATCAGGTGATTCTGGACATCCTGCTGTGTAACGGAGGGGGAATCTGGCTAGGCATGACCGTCTGCCGCTTCCTGGAGATGCGCACATACCACTGGGCCAGTATTAAGTACGTGCGTGTGTGTCTGTTTGTGTGTTTTTATGAGTGGGAGTAGTTTTTTTTTTTGTGTGTGTGTGTATATGTTTGTTTTTGTGTGTTGAGTGTGTTTGCTTGTGTTTTTGTGCGTGTATTTTTGTGTGCATGTTTTGTGTTAGTAGGTTGGTGTGTTTGTGTCTGTGTGTGTGTTTTAGTTTTTTGTGTGTATGCATGAGAGCTTGTGTGTGTTTGCATTCCAGTGTGTGCGTCAATGTGTATGTGATTGTGTGTCCTTTTTACTGTTGTTTCTGTGTGTGTGTGTGTGTGTGTGTGTGTGTGTGTGTGTGTGTGTGTGTGTGTGTGTGTGTGTGTGTGTGTGTGTGTGTGTGTGTGTGTGTGTGTGTGTGTGTGTGTGTGTGTGTGTGTGTGTGTGTGTGTGTGTGTGTGTGTGTGTGTGTGTCTTTTTGCTTTTGTTTGTGACCTGACTTTGTGTTGTTTTTTGCGCATGTACCTTGTATTCCTCATGGTATGGAGTCCAACTGCTGACCTTGTGGGGACATTTTTAGACAGAATTAAGTTAGTATTTTGAAAATGTGTGTGTGTGTGTGTGTGCAGAGACATTCACAGCACTACAGGGAAGATCAAGCGAGCGGTTCTTCAGTTCACTCCGGCCAGCTGGACATATGTGCGCTGGCTCGACCCGAAGTCCTCTCTGCAGAGGGTGATGGGAGTTTACCTGTTCATGATTATCTGGCAGGTCAGTCCCACACACACCTACTTTTCGTGTTTCTGTGTGTGTGTGTTTGTGTGTCTCCTCTCAGACTGAAGCTCCGCCCCTTGAGCTCGTCTCCATGGCAATGAATGCCCCTCTTTGCTCCCTATTGAGGGCCCTTGAAATCCTCATTGTGTGTCTTTGAGAAGGAGATCAGGCTTTATTTCTCACTGAACACACTCCATCTGCACTCAACACGCACTCATTCTCCACATTCACTGCATTTATTGCTGTTTTGGGGGGAGATTATTTGCATCTTATTTATTCATTTAGCAGAAGCTTTTATCAAAAACCAGATGGATTAAATAAACTTAATTAAGTCAAAAAAACTGAATGGCTAGGATTGTGCATGTGTGATATGAACCTAATTAATTATTTTAAGTTTAATTTTGCTGTTTTGAATAAAATGTAGTTATTTTAATAAAATGTGTAATCTTGAATATTTTATTTAATTTTTCATATTCGCTTAAATTCACTTTTATTGATTTAATTTTCAATCAAATATTTAATTAAACGTGAATCTAATTAATTGAGTTTCATATTTAAATTGTATTTAACTTGAATTTAAATTAGTTAAATTTAATACTATAATTAATTTATTAAATGAATTTTAAGCACAATTCAGTACAATTAATTTTAATTTACTTGGATTTAATCTAATTTTATTTCATATTTTAATTTAATTTAATTTAGGGTCTAATTAAATTAACCAAATATAACATTTTTAATTCATTTTTTCAAATACTAGCCATTTTAATTTATTGACTTAACATTAAATTTTTTATTAAATATTAAATTTATGTTTAACTTGAATTAAAACTAATATTATTTCATATTTAAATTTTTTACTAAGTGTAATTTCTTTTATTAACTATTTTAATAATTTTATCATTTATTAATACAGTTATTTTTTACAAAATGTTTGATGTTTAATGATCAAACATCATTAAACATTAGTCGCTTTGGATAAAAGCGTCTGCTAAATGACTAAATGTAAAATGTAAATGTAATGACATTTCTTTTAAGTATTTTTTCAGTGATTTTATTTTGACTTTAATGACTTTACAGTTAATTTTAGTCTAATTTAATTTAAATTAAACTAATTAATATTTTAAGCTTTGTATCTTGTTCAATCTTTCTGTGTGTGTGTTTTCCAGCTGACGGAGCTCAACACTTTCTTCCTGAAGCACATCTTTGTTTTCCCGGCATGCCACGCTCTCAGCTGGTGCAGGATCCTGTTCATCGGCATTATCACTGCTCCAACTGTTCGGTACGGGACAATAATCCACACACTTAAAACAAACACTCATTTACTAAAGTATATATAAAACACCATGCCATTCATAACCCATTTTACCTTCAAAATATGATGAATTTTAGAGTAAAACGTAAAATTTATGTCAAATAAAAAGAGAGTAAAACCATTTTTTTTATTTATACACAATTTTATTTTTATTAAATTATTTTTATTTATAAGCTATGGGTGTTTTTGATATGCATTTTAAATATATATATTAATATATCACGCAGTTTTTTTTCAGTATCTCAGGCTCATACATTTAAACTAAATTTTTTAATTAATGAATAAAATATTTTTTTTAACTTTTTTTATTATTTTTTTAATTAATATTATTTTACTTATAAGCTGATTCATGAGCTGATGAAAAACTAATAATTAATATTAAAATTGAACTATTGAATTATTTGTATGAGCCTGAGATGAAAATACAGTATAAACCATATAAATAAAACACTTAAAGCTTTCATTTATCTTTCATTTTACCTTCAAAATGTGATGTATTTTAGTGTAAACGTAACATTTATGTAAAATAAAATATAAAATAGAGTAAAGCTAGTTTTATCTGTTCTTTTACATTCATTTTGAATACAGTTAAAGTCAGAATTATTCGCCCCCTTTGAATTTCTTTTTATTTTTTTAAATATTTCCCAAATGATGTTTAACAGAGCAAAGAAATGCTCACAGTATGTCTGATAATGTTTTTTCTTCTGGAGAAAATCTTATTTGTTTTAATTTGGCTAGAATAAAAGCAGTTTTTAATATTTTAAACACCTTTTTAAGGTCAAAATTATTAGCCCCTTTAAGCTATATTGTTATTCGATAGTATACAGAACAAACCATCGTTATACAGTAACTTGCCTAATTACCCTAACCTGCCTAGTTAACCTAATTAACCTAGTTAAGCATTTAAGGATTTTTATGCGTTGATTTGTGATGTCCACTACATTTTTTAATGCATTTTTTTAAATAAAAAAGACATGATTTTAATGATAAATTAAATAAATTTTATTTATATATTTTATTACATTTCTTTATTTTTTAGCTTTTAATTTCTTTGTAATTGTGCATATTTGAGCAGCATGAATTTAATTTCTTACATTTCCAGCATTAGAACAAAATAAATACCTACCAAAAATGCCATATTTGATTACCTGAATATACTAAACAGTATCATTACCCATCAAAAGTGTTGTTCAATTCTACAAATATTAACTTAAAATCTCTGGAAATGTTTTTTTTTACTGAAAAAAACTCTTGTACAGTGTTGTGAAGGCATAATTTGTGACATGAAAAGTGTGCACTCGTGAATTGCTGCGTATTCAGCGTGTGTTTCTGTGTGTTGCAGACAGTATTATGCGTATCTAACAGACACTCAGTGTAAGCGTGTCGGGACTCAGTGCTGGGTGTTTGGGTGAGTTTCAGCATCTTCTCTGCCATTTTCTTCTTTTCTAATTCCAGAACTACATTTTTATTTGCTTATTTATTAGAGTTTAATGTAATTCAGCTTAATTTGATCATTTAATTTAGTGTTGAATAATTTTACTGTAGTTTTACATCAATTAAGTTACCTTTTCACTTTATTGACTTAATGTTTAATTATTAATTCAATATTTTATTTTAATTTGACATGAGTTTAATCAAGTTTCAATTCAGCTTGAATTTAAATAAACTAATTAATAACGTTTAATTTATATTAACTACATTTAATATTAACTTTAAACTAATTGTGTTCAATAAATTGTATTATCTAATTTAAATTTAACCTGTATTTAATCCAATTTAATGTCTTATTCACGTTTAATTTAGTGTGTAATTAAATATTTAATTAAACATTTGTTCATGCTAACAAATTTAAGTGAATTTAACTTTTTCTCTTTATTAATATTTTTTAAACTTTTATTAATAATTTAATTTATTTCATTTTAATATAGAATAACTATAAATTTAATCTAACTTAAATTTAAGCTAATAAAAGTATTTTAATGTTTAATTTAATTAAACTTGGAATTAATCAAATTTAATGTCTTATTAAAACTACTATAAAATTAAACTTTTGACTTAAAGGTTTGCTTTTTAATATTAAATTTAGTTCTAGTTATTTTTTAAGTGGCTTTCCTTAATTATTTTTATTTACATTTATCCTAGCACATTTTAACTTTGGTTCAGGCCCTGATCTGCACGTGTGTGTCTGCAGTGTGTTTTCATCATAATAGCAAACGTTTAACCACAAACCCTGTTTCTCCATCAGCCCTTCGGTGGGCTTCACTTCTGCTCTGTTGTGTCTGATCAATCTGAGATATGCATTGACCCAGATCTGCTTGTCTTCTGCTTAACATCTAGACTTCGTCATCTAGAGCAGTGGTTCTCAACTGGTTTGGCCATGGGACCCACATTTGTACATGGTCATCAAGCCGCGACCCAAATTTTTAGGAACAATAATATATATTTTAAGGAAGTATAATTCATTTGTATTTATTTGTTAACATACAAAAGTAGTGACAGATTAATCATAATAAAATCACCAAGACTTACAAATAAACTATATTTTACTGCTGTCATTTAACAAAACGTATTAAATTATAGAAATAATACACAATAAAAACGTCAAATACTGTAAACAGTGCTTACCATTAACTAAACTGAACTGTTTATAAAACATTAACACTGATCCTGTTGATCATAAGCATTTTTATAGTAATCACCAGTTATTTGCTCTTCTGCTTTTGTCTGGGCTTCCTTGGCCTGTGCTACACTGTGAGCACAGTAAGATGCGCGGAGTGCCTATACTTGTTTTAAGAAGATGTTCGGCACTTTTGTGATGCCCTCAGCTATTGGAGTCGTCTTTGAAAATAGTCCACATGTTTGTCCTTGCAACTGGGATGTTTGGTTTCTAAATGTCGTTTTAATTTAGACGGTGTCATGCTCTCTTGTGAGAGCACCTCACTACATATAACACATTGAGGTTTTAAGCCTTTTTTTGTCGTCCATACATGTAAATCCACACTTTACATATTCGGGGTTGTACTTGCGCTGAAATTTCACATATCAAACAGTACGGTTGTCGCACACGCATTTCAAAATAAAAGTCCGATATTAGCAAAATAAGTTACAAATTTTTGATCACACACTCCACGACCCACTGAAAATGTTCCCGTGACCCACTTTTGGGTCGTGACCCACCAGTTGAGAAACTCTGATCTAGACTATGTCATTTAGTTTTTATCATCATCTAGATTCTGTTGCACACTGAAGATCTGATAATTTTTTTTTCTCCCTGCAGTGCAATAGCCTTTCTGGAGGCGCTGGCGTGTATTAAATTTGGACAAGATTTATTTTCCAAGACGCAGATTCTCTATGTGATCCTGTGGCTTGTGTGTTTGGTGAGTTTCGGTTTTATTTATATATATATATATATATATATATATATATATATATATATATATATATATATATATATATATATATATATATACAAAAAAAAAATTTGGGTTTTTGAGTTATTGCCGTCTATAACTGAATGTGTGTCAGGAATTTTGAAAACAAAACCAACTGAACCGCGCTCATTTCTGGTGCCCCCTGGATGTACAGCGCCCTTAGCATTTGCCTATGGTGCCTATGCCTCGGACCGGCCCTGAGTTGGCTAAGTATTGTAAATACTCGCGCTCACCTCCCTCGTGACAGAGCGCACAGGAGATAAATGACGTCAGTACACAATAACCGGTTATGATTATTACTGAACCGATACCTTATTGTCCGCGTCTGCATCGCGGTGCACCGAAGAAACGATTAATTTTGACACCCCTAATACATATATATATATATATATATATATATACATATACATACATGCATGCATACATACATACATATATATGTATATATATATATATATGTATGTATATATGTATATATATATATATATATATATATATATATATATATATATATATATATATATGTATATGTATGTATGTATATGTATATATATATATATGTATATATATATATATGTATGTGTGTGTGTGTGTGTATATATATATATTGTGTAGTAATTTTTAAGGAACCGCAAACGTGTGTGTATGTGGGGGTGGGGGGGTGGCTTCTGCAGTATGTGGGAGAAAATCATCTAGTAATAGTCTTCTGGGTAAGTATTTAAGTATTAAAGGTTGTAAAATCAAACAATGTGATCTTATTGTTTGTGTGTGTGTGTGTGTGTGTGTGTGTGTGTGTGTGTGTGTGTGTGTGTGTGTGTGTGTGTGTGTGTGTGTGTGTGTGTGTGTGTGTGTGTGTGTGTGTGTGTGTGTGTGTGTGTGTCTTTTGTGATTTTTCCGTAGGCGTTCATCACATTCCTGTGTCTGTATGTGATGGTGTGGTACGCTGAAAACTACGGCCCCCGACAGAAGGTGAGTTACAAACACAAAAGCAGAACAGAGACGTGACAGAGACTCAGACACTTGCTGTTTCTGTCTAAAGGTGTCTATTAGAGTTACAGTGAGGGAAACGAGTATTGAACACATTGTCATGTGTTTTTCCTGGCAATAATATTTCTACAGGAGCTCCTGATATGGAATTGAATCCGATTATGGGAAAAACCCAAACAATACAAACATAAAAATAAAACAAAACAAAACAAATCTGAAAAATGAGTCGTGTGTAATAAGAATGAAATGGCAGAAGGAGAAAGAGCTGAACTACTGAAGTGTATTTACTTTATATAAAAGGCTTTTATTGGTGCTTAAAGACGCCTCTCATATGGAGAATGAAGTCTCATGCATGTGGAGAGTCCCCATCAATACACTAGCTGCGTTTTCACTATTGCGCCTAAAGCGAGCGAGCCAGGGCGAGCCAAGGCCACTCGCGTTTCCACTGTCACTTCCGAGGCCTAATCGGGCCAAATCGGGGATTTCTTGGGGCCAGCGGCCGGCCTTTTTCGGACGCCGAATACCTTGGGCCAAAGAGGGCCAGCCGGGGCTTCGGGGCGGAGTGAAAGGAGAGAAGGGGACAGTTTTCCGATCGTACACAAGTACATGCGCCAAACACATAACAAATAAATAAAAAAGGGAAAGAAAACATCTGGAACAAATTATAGGCTGGGGTCTTTTTTGCATATGATCGCCCCTATGTTTCTCTTTTAAATGTAAGGCTGTTGCATAAAATAATAAAGTAGTTTTAATTTATAAGTGACTTTTCTTTGCTGCATTTCTTTGATGTTTCAATAACGCAAAATAATCTTTACACCATATTAAAGACACAGCAGACAGTAAAGGATTTCAAGAGGTTTCGTCAAGTTTAATAAGTGTGTTTTTGCGTGTTTAGATGCCTTTGAGACCGAGGAAAAGAGGGCTCCCTTCACAGCTCTGTTGATGCCGCGTGGCTTTTGTCTTTTATTTTTTTATTGTTTTTATTTATTTTGGAGATAATACACTAAATGAACACAACAGAAAGACATTAAACTTTACAAATTTCATGTCCACTTTTGTAGGCTCAAAACAATAGAGTCATATCTAGATAAAATAGCCCTATATTGAAATAATTTAAAGAATTAAAAATATCAGATATAATAAAATCACAATAAATAAATAAACCAATATAAAACTAACAAAAGCTATAGCTATAACAATTAGGTACTATATCAAACTGTTTCAAATTTATGTTAAACTTTCATTTTTCAAAAGCCTCTTTAAAAAATTTTTTTAGATATTTCCTAAAAATATAAATAAATAAATAAATAAACACCGGAAAATGTTTTAACTATTATTTATAAAGTATTTGGATACGATGAAATTAATCAAATTATGCAAACAAAGCATTTTGGCGGTGATCGAAAGCAGAAATAGGCAACCTTTTTTTCTGTGCAGCACTTTTTAGACAGGGAAAACTGCAAGTTCAGAATGTGTTCTGTGTCCTCAAACAAGTGTTTATGTTTTTATATGACGTGGTAAAATTAAAAAAGGAAATTTTAAATACATAAAGAGCTTTATTAGTGCTTTGCTGCTGAGCGCAACGAAATATAGGCAATATTTTATTACGTGCTGCTCTTATGTGCTGAAACACTGAACACTTTCCTTTACTTAAGATATAAGCAACATCTTTAAATAAAGGGAATCACCTATGAAGTGTAATAAAGCCTATAGGGGAAAAAATCATGTTTCAGTTCATTTGGGATGAATGTTGGACAGATTCTGTCTAGAGGATGTTATAAAATACATTTTATATCGAGTTATTAACGGAGAATTTGATATATGTGGTGTTATATTATGGATGTGTGCGCTCCCTGCGCTGGGTTCCTCCGTTAGTGGCAAGACCACTGGATTTCGATGCCAATAGTCGGTCGGCGAGTAAATGAATATGATGAATGAAAACACACAGGCATGTGCGTATAGACATGCGTTGTACTGCTGTACAGTAACGTGTCATTTGTTTGTTTTGGTTGTCCTAATTTTAATAGTTTCGTGATGATGTGATGGTGTGCTTTATCTGCATGATTCTCGCTGAAGTGGGCGGTTTGAGTGACGTTCGATTCGGGGGATGTTCTGGGGGCGGGGTTTGCGTGATGTGCTGCGAGCTACTAGCCTGACAGTGGAAACGCGACATGATTTCGGCCTCACTGCTCAACCTCCCGGGCGATTGGCCCGGCCTGGCCCGATATAAGCCCTGGCTCGCACTGGCCTGATAGTGGAAATGCAGCTACTGGGGCATTAGGACCCACAAAAACTGCAGATTGGGTGCCCCCTGCTGGTCTCACTAACACCCCTTCCAGCAGCATCCTAGCTTTCCCATGTGGTCTCCCATCCAGGTACTGGCCTCTGCTTGGCTTTAGTAGACGACCATGTGAGAATTGCAGAGAGCTAGCAGTCGGCACCATGCATTGATGTTTCCTCGTGTTAATCTGGCCGAATGCACACTGAAATATTAAGTGAAGAGTCTGCGACCATTTATAGGGCTATTATTGTTTATTAACGCTGTACAATTAGCATTTAACTTCTTCCAGCTGTTTTATTAGAGTGAAATATCAAATAATGTTAATTTATCTGATCAATTCACAATGTTTATTACGGGGTGTTCATTTAAGTATTAAAGGTTGTAAAATCATACAATCATGTGATCTTATTGTGTGTGTGTGTGTGTGTGTGTGTGTGTGTGTGTGTGTGTGTGTGTGTGTGTGTGTGTGTGTGTGTGTGTGTGTGTGTGTGTGTGTGTGTGTGTGTGTGTGTGTGTGTGTGTAGAGCTTCTCGGAGTGTGAGGACAGTATTTACAGTGAGGCGGGTGACAGCGTGACCGAATGCAAAGGTAAAACACCATCAGCTTATGGTTACTATTTATGTTTGATCATCTTAAAGGGATGGTTCACCCAAAAAGTGAACATTTAATACACTCAAAGTGGTTTCAAACCTCGATGAGATTTTTTTTCTTGTGCTGATGATCACTATAGAAGATTTTTTTAAAGATAGATGATAACCATTGACTTCCATGTGAAAAGCAAATACTATAGAAGTCAATAGATACAGGTTTCCAACATTTTTCAAAATATCTTCTTTTGAGTTTACCAGAAATAAAACCAAATCTCATAAAAGTTTGAAACAAGTAAAGGAAGAGTAAATGCTGGGTGAGCTGTCCCTTTAATGATGGTTTAGTCATCACCTGTAGACTTCTGGCCTCTAGTGGTGAAACAGCAGAACACACACTAGACTAATAACTAATGTACAGTTGAAAGCAGAAGTTTTCTTACACTGTATAAAAAGGCACATAACCATTAAAACAAGTCAGAGGTATATGTGACTTATTCTCTTTTAGGTAAGTCAGGATGATCAAATGTGTTTCTATTCTGCTTAATAGCAGAGTAATGAGAGAGAGATTGTTTGAGAAATGATTATAACTCTTCTTGAAAGTCAAGTTTACACACAATAAGATTATTCTGCCTCTGGATAAGCTCAGATGATGATGTCAAGGTGTTGGAAGTTTCTGATTGGCTAATTGACAACATTTGAGTTAATGTGAGGCACAACTGTAGAATAGTGTTCAAGGAAAAGCTCAAACACACTGCTTCCTTGTGTGACAACATGGGAAAAGAGTAATGTTTGGAGACATGTCCTGTGCTCTGATGGAGCTAAGATTGAACTGTTTGGCCATAATGACCAGTGTTACATTTGGAGGACAAAGGGGAAAGAGCACAAGTCTAGGAACACCATCCCAACTGTGCAGTATGGGGGCGGCAGCATCATGTTGTGGGGCTGTTTTGCTGCAGGAGGGACTGGTCCACTTCACAGCATAGATGGCATCATGAAGAAAGAACATTATGGAGGAATACTGAAGCAACATCTCAACAAATCAGCCAGGAAATTAAAACTTGACCACAAATGGCTCTTCCAAACAGACCATGACCCTAAGCATACTGCCAAATTAGTTCAAATGTGCTTTAAGGACAACAGATTGAATGTTTTGGAGTGGCCATCACAAAGCCCTGATCTCAATCCTTTAGAAAATTTGTGGGCAGAGTTGAAAAAGCTTGTGCGAGCAAGACAGCCTACAAATCTGACTCAGTTACACCAATTCTGTCAGGAGGAATGGGCCAAAATTCCTGCAAACTATTGTGAGAAGCTTGTGGAAGGAGACCCAAAACATTTGACCAAATCAAAAGCAAAGCTAAAAAATACCAAGGAAATGTGTGTAAACTTTTGACTGTCTAGAAATTAATAGAAAATTCTTTACAAATAATTCTCTCATTATTCTGGCATTTAGCAAATGTAAATCATTCAGATAATCCTAACGGCTCTACAATAGTAAACGTTTAGTGATTTACCATCAGAAATTAAAAAAAAAATAGTTATGTTCCTTTTTTAGAGTGTATGTAAACTTTTGCTTTCAACTGTATATTTAATGATATAATACACACATTGCTGTACAGCAGGGTTATTATAGTGAACTAATTAAATTAAACTGTAAAAACCCTACTTAACAGAATGTATCCCACATTGCATATTTAATTGTTGTAATAACTATAGTGCAGTTGTCGAATTGAAAATGTAAAGACCAATCAAGCATATAGTTTTGACAAATTTATCGACATAATTATTATTTTTGTGTCGTTGAGATGCTAATATATTGTTTTTGATCTTTTTGTGTGTTTAACCTTGTTTTATTCTTCTGTTTTCATTTGACTTATAGCTTTTTCCTTTTACTAACAGTTGTTGTAAGTCAGTAATTTGGCTTTACCGACAAGTAGTTCTTGTAGTTGTTGTTACCATAGCAACTATAGAATCACAATAGTTCATTTACTATAGGTGTTGTTTCCATAGCAACTATAGAATCACCACAACAGATCAATAACTATAGTTGTTGTGTTACCATAGTGACAATAGAGTCACTACAACAGATCAATTACTATAGCTGTTGTTACCATAGCGATGGTAGAGTCACCAAAACAGATCAATTACTATAGTTGTTGTGTTACCATAGTGACAGTAGAATCACAACAGATCAATTACTGTTGCTGTAGTTACCTTAGCAACAATAGAACCACCACAGCAGATCAACTACTATAGTTGTTGTTACCATAGCGACTGTAGTCACCACAACAAATCAATTACTATAGTTTTTGTGTTACCATAGCGACTGTAGTCATCACAACAAATCAATTACTATAGTTGTTGTGTTACCATAGCGACTGTAGTCATCACAACAAATCAATTACTATAGTTGTTGTGTTACCATAGCGACTGTAGTCATCACAACAAATCAATTACTATAGTTGTTGTGTTATCATAGCGACTGTAGTCATCACAACAAATCAATTACTATAGTTGTTGTGTTACCATAGCGACTGTAGAATCACCACAACAGATCAATTACTATAATTGTTGTGTTGCCATAGTGACGGAGTCAATACAACAGATCAAATACTATAGCTGTTGTGTTACCATAGCGACTGTACTCACCACAACAGATCAATTACTATAGTTGTTGTGTTACCATAGTGACAGAGTCAATACAACAGATCAATTACTATAGTTGTTGTGTTACCATAGCGACTGTAGTCATCACAACAAATCAATTACTATAGTTGTTGTGTTACCATAGTGACAGAGTCAATACAACAGATCAATTACTATAGTTGTTGTGTTACCATAGCGACTGTAGTCATCACAACAAATCAATTACTATAGTTGTTGTGTTACCATAGCGACTGTACAATCACCACAACAGATCAATTACTATAATTGTTGTGTTGCCATAGTGACGGAGTCAATACAACAGATCAAATACTATAGCTGTTGTGTTACCATAGCGACTGTACTCACCACAACAGATCAATTACTATAGTTGTTGTGTTACCATAGTGACAGAGTCAATACAACAGATCAATTACTATAGCTGTTGTGTTACCATAGCGACTGTACTCACCACAACAGACCAATTACTATTGCTGTTGTGCAACTATAGAATCACCACAACAGATACTATATTATGCTGTACTTTACTATGGTGTGGTTCTAAAATACTGTACACTAATTAAAGTATATTATAAACAAATTTCGAGAGGCGCACGTGCTTATGATTGATCATGGCTGGTCCCGCATTAGCAGTCACATGATAGACAGATCTCCTTACCTTAACCATCTTCGTCTTGCAGAATTCCCCCATCCTCCCCGACTCCTCCCCCTTTTTTCTAGCTTAAACTGGGGAGCTCCCGAGATCTACCTGAGCTCAGACTCCCCTCTCACATGACAGTAAGGTTAAGGTTCCTCTGAGCTCAGGGCTCTCTCCCATGCCAAACACGCTTTTTATTCATCAATCATCAGCTGAGTGTGAACTCTTGAAACACGACAGCATTGACTGTAAATTACGAATAGTCTTTTTTTCCATGTGGATGATTTATTTTTCTTCATTTTTTATTATTTTATTACGTCATGTGAACAGTTTTTCGTAATGTGCATGCATCAATTCACTGTTTATTTAATGTCATTTCAGGGGAGTTTGAAATAGACAGCACGACTTCCTGTTCCACCAGGAAGCGGAGAGATTCAGGAGACAGCAGGACCATCAATGGCATGGAGAAATGAAGAGCTGGTCTTTATTGAGGAACATTTGCACGTGATTGGCTCCGGCTGGAGGAGCAGCAGTGATGATGATGGTGATGATGAGGGTGAGACGGTCTCAGGTTTGGTCCAATATTTCAGATGTCAGAGCGGCTTCAACACCGCCGACCTGCGAGAGGCAATAGTGTGTGTGTTTGTGTGTGTGTGGTTTTCAGAGACTGGTTAACCAGGTCGGATCCCGAGCAGTGATCTCCAGTAGCATGCGGGACTCGTTAGTGTTGCTGCTCGTTACTGTATGTTATGTCGCCGGTGTATATTACGCATCCCATTTCATGTGTTATTATTCATATCATAATGTGACTGTGATAAAGTCAACATGAGACCAGTGTTTACCCTTTTACTTTCTTGTTTTTGTGAACGTTTTTAAATAAATCAGTGAATAAAGTTGGCATTTTAATCGATCATTAAATGTAAAAGTAATATTTTTTTAATGTTTTACTCCTTTTTTTTTTTTTTTTAAGTCGCTTCTGCTCACCAAGGGTGCGTCAACAAAATAAATAAATTAAATTAATTGTTTTATTAAGATTATAGATTAATTTGTTTGATCAGAAATAACGTAAAAATGTCTTTTTCTTTTTGTTCTTTAAAGGTTTTTAAATGAATAAATTTGGCATTTTAATCGATCATTAAATGTAAAAGTAATAGTTTTTTAAACGTTTTATGTAAATAGTCTCTTCTGCTCACCAAGGTTGCGTTAACAAAATAATAATAAAAAATATTAAAAATTTGACTAAAAATAAAAATGTATTTAGTGGCATGGTGGCTCAGTGGTTAGCACATCAAGAAGGTCACTGGTTCAAGTCCCGACTGGGTCAGCTGGCATTTCAGTGTGGAGTTTGCAAGTTCTCCCTGTGTTGGCGTGGGTTTCCTCTGGGTGCTCCGGTTTCCCCCCACAGTCCAAACACATGCGCTGTAGACCATTTCAGATTGGTTAATTCAGATTAAAGATTAATTTGTTTGATCAGAAAGGATGTAAAAATGTCTTTTTCTTATTCTTTTTGTTCTTTAAATGTTTTTAGATTAATAAATCTGGCATTTTAATCGATCATTCAATGTAAAAGTAAAAGTTTTTAACATGTTTTACGTCGATAGTCTCTTCTGCTCACCAAGGTTGCGTTAACAAAATAAATAATATTAAAAAATTAAACAAAAAATAAAAATGTATATAGTGGCTCAGTGGTTAGCACAGTAAAAAGGTCTCTGGTTCGAGTCTCAGCTGGGTCAGTTGGCGTTTCTGTCTGGAGTTTGCATGTTCTTCCTGTGTTGGCATGTGTTTCCTCCGAGTGCTCCGGTTTCCCCCACAGTCCAAACACATGCGCTATAGAGGAATTGGGTAAGCTTAAATTGATCGTAGTGTATGAGTGTGTGTGGATGTTTCCCAGTGATGGGTTACAGCTGGAAGGGCATCCGCTGTGTAAAACTTATGCTAGGTAAGTTGGCGGTTCATTCCGCTGTGGTGACCCCAGACTAATAAAGGGACTAATCCAAAAAGAAAATGAATTAATTAATTTGTTTGATCAGAAAGGATGTAAAAATGTCTTTTTCTTATTCTTTTTGTTCTTTAAACGTTTTTAAATGAATAAATTTGGCATTTTAATCGATCAATAAATGTAAAGTGTGGAGTTTGCAAGTTCTCCCTGTGTTGGCGTGGGTTTCCTCTGGGTGCTCCGGTTTCCCCCCACAGTCCAAACACATGCACTATAGGAGAATTGGGTAAGCTAAAATTGGACGTAGTGTATATGCGTGTATGCGAATGTATGGATCTTTCCCTGTGATAGATTGCAGCTGGATGGGCATGCGCTGTGTAAAACATATGGTGGATAAGTTGGTGGTTCATTCCACTGTGGTGACCCTAGATTATTAAAAGGACTAAGCAGAAAAGAAAAAGAATGAAGCAAACTAAGTGGGAGAGAGAGGGGGGGTAGGGTCAAGAAATGTCCTCGAGCCGGGATTCGAACACGGGACATCCTGAAGTGCTAACCACTAGGCTATTGCGCCTATAACTTCTTATCTTTAATTGTAAAAGTTTAAATAGATTTTTTCTGCTCACCAAGGTTGCGCTAACAAAATAAATACAAAATAAATGTCACGAAAAATTTAAATTTTTCGTCACGGTGGCTCAGTGGTTAGCACAGAAAGAGGGTCGCTGGTTTGAGTCCCAGCTGAGCCAGTTGGCATTTCTGTGTGGAGTTTGCATGTTCTCCTCCTGTTGGCTTGGAATTCCTTCGGGAGCTCTGGTTTCCCCGACAGTCCAAACATATGTGGTCATGTTATTGGCCCATGAACATTTCCTGTTTGTTGTCAAACCATTTCATAACTGAAACAAGAGGCGGTTTTATCATAACTTAATGTTAAAACAGTCGTCATAACACTATTTATCAAAATGTGGACCTTTTTGGACTCTCGGAAGCTATAGAAATTAAAAACTATAAAGCGTTAGGACCATATTATTGTTTACATCTCTCTGAATGGTCTATAGGGGAACTGATGAACTAAATTGGACGTAGTGTACGAGTGTGTGTGTGAATGTAAGTGTGTATGGGTGATTCCCAGTACTGCAAGGGCATCCGCTGTGTAAAGCATATGCTGGAATAGTTGGCGGTTCATTTCGCTGTGGCGACCCCTGATAAATAAAGGGACTACGCCGAAGGAAAATGTATTTATTTGATCAGAAATATTGTAGAAATGTAAAATATTATTGCAGTTTGCTAAGACATGCTAGTTCATGGTGTTAACATGCTAATTCATGTTAAGTGTTAAACAGGTTAAAAACCGGTAAGCAACATGCAAATTGATGTACTTACACTTACTTTCTTGTTGTTTATCTTTATCTTATTCTTTTGTTTTTAAACGTTTTTAAATAAATAAATAAAGTTGGCATTGTAATCGATCATTAAATGTAAAAGTAATATTTTTAAAAAATGTTTTAATTAAAGGTGCAGTAGGTGATCTGCTAAAATGCTATTCATTAGCATAATATCTTTGAAACACTCCCTGCCCTGCCGACCAAAGCCACGCCTTCTAAAACATGAGCGCACACCGTAATGCTGCGTTCACACCAGACGCGGAAGAAGCGGCAAGCATGAGTGATTTACATGTTACGTCAAAGCAAAGATGCAAATAGACATCCAGCAGGGCGAATGAGGCGGCGCGGATGACGCAATTTGCGTGAATGAAGCGGCGCGAGTTGAGCGTTTTGTGTGATTGGCGCATGTTTAGCGCGAATCAATCGAGTTCGAAAATCTGAACTTCAGCGACATTCGCACCGCAATAACCAATCAGGAGCTTTGTCTAGTGGGAGCGTGATTATGGTGTAGGGCCTGTTGTTGGTGTCCCTTGGAAAATCCTCCAGCTGACACCGGTCCAACAGCTCATCAAACTGGGCTGGGCTCAGTCAGAAGCACTGCTAAAAGCCTCCATCATCCAGGTTCAGATTCTGGAGGAGTTTATGAACTCACAGAGATGGGTGCACCTCTGAAAGGATCTAGTGGACTCAGACAAGGCACCAAACGTATCGACGCAGTTTTTCAGCCTTCATAAAGCACATAAACACAGCTACTCTCTCAATAAAATCCATGTTAGTGATTTAGCAACGAAGCTACAGACGCCAGGCAGACAGAAGCCCTGCCTATCATGCGATTCCGCATCTATTGTGAAGCGGATTTGACACGGGAATAAAGCGAGTACACTCAAAACATTCGAGCGTCTATTTAAGAGTGAATAGCGCGATTCATATGTGCTTGCCGCGTCTGGTGTGAACACAGCATAAAGATGACACTAGCCAATTATCCAACAGGAATTGGATTAAACGAATTATCTGCCCCTCTGCTGTGTGGTGTCCCCCAAGGCTCTATTGTGGGTCCATTGCTGTTCAATTTATATATGCTTCCTCTTGGTAATATTACATGGAAACATAACATCTCTTTTCATTTTTATGCAGATGACTCTCAGCTGTATGTACTTTAAAATCTCAGAACTCCCTGCAGTCTCTAATTGATTGTCTTGAGGATATTAAATGTTGGATGGCAAAAAACTTCCTTCAACTTAATAACGACAAAACTGAGGTTATTCTCTTCAGCCCCTCAAAAACAAGAATGTCTTATTTTGGGGGCTTGGGAAGTCTTACACCTTATGTTCAATCGCAAGTAAAAAAAAATCTAGGAGTTATCTTCGATTCAGAGCTTTGTCTAGGAAAACAAATGAGCTCAGTGGTTAAGAATAGTTACTATCAGCTGAGGATCATCTCCGGACTCACATGCATTCTTTTCTTTCAAGACCTGAAAAAAGTCATACATGCTTTTAGCACGTCCTGCCTAGACTATTGCAATTCCTTACTGTGCGTTCACACTGAAAGTGGCGAGAGCGTCCAACGTGGCCGCCCTGCCGACAACGCTGTCTGCCTTCAGCTCCGGCGGCGAGAGCGTCAAAATTCGCTACGTTGATTCCGTACTTAAAGGGGCCATGAAAATGTTGCGCGCATCAAAATCATTTAACAATGGAAGATCAATTTTCATGTGGTGTGGCTTTGCTCCACTTGATTATCCAGTGTGTCCATATGTCTGAAATATCCTGAAGCAGCAGTACTGTTTTGTACTGTCGCATGAGATTCCCGCTTTGTTTAAAGATTAATATATATAACATTAATGCACTTCAGTAACTCGACGGTGACTTATTTAATGCATGTTCATGTAAAAAAACATTGTAAATAATTGAAAATCCAGCGACCGCAAACCCTTGGGAACAACTATGGTCGAAACCAAAGTGTACAGTGTCTGTGTTCTCTGAACTCCTCTCGAGCGGTGGACTTCTTCATTCCTATTGCTTGCCGCCGAATCGCGTCATAGCCCATTACCATAAAGTTGACTTGGTTTCAACTCTCCTCGACGCCCACACCGGCGAAGACGCGCTGTGCTGCTCCTCGCCGTTTATCGCCGCCCGCTCTCATTGAAAATAAACGACTTCCACCTACTTTGACGCTTTCGCCGCTTTCGGTGTGAACGTACGGTTATTTGTTGGTTCCCCTCAATCTTCATTGGCAAAGTTGCAGTTGGTTCAAAATGCGGCAGCTAGACTTTAAACATGCACCAAAAAACATGCTCGTATCTCACCAGTTTTAGCATCCCCCATTGACTTCCTGTAATTTTACAATTCAGTTCAAGATTTTACTTATTGTTTTTAAAGCACTGAATGGGCAAGCACCTTCATATATATCAGAACTTGTTAACCTACAGTCAACTACTCGGTCTCTTAGGTCGTCAAATAAAATGTTACTGCAAATTCCGCAGTTAGTGATGGGTCGTTATTGAACAATTCGTTCAATTTGAGCGAATCTTCAATATGACTCAAACTGGAGTCCTCTCAGGTAGTGATTCGTTCATCATGTGTGCGCACTTTTGTGCAGGTGGTATCGTTCATTTTAA